TCTTCAGACTACTGTTGCTATAGTATGCTTATATAGATGCCATTCATCTCTGTCTCAAGTCTTTATGACTTGCATTTGGGAGCTAAGGTTAGGGACTTTGAATTTGTTTGAAACTAACAATCTCAAGTCTAGGAACCCTATTCTGCAATAAATTCCTACTGATAAAATGATTTGACATTACCAGTTCTATTCATTTGTATTAATCTTATGCCTGAGGATTAATATACATTTTTTAAAATTAGCTTAAGCTTTTATTAGTGACCAGTCTGAAATGACATTTATTTTGAAATGCTCTCAGTATCAGTATACATGAGCCAAAAGTCAAACACTCACGTTTTAAGTTTGTTTGTCTATTATAAGCAAAGTATTAAGTTAAATGCCTAATAGAGACTCAGGAGACAGTAGATTGTAGTTGAGACATGATATCCTGGTGTGTATCTTAGAAAAGTTTTAAAAGACTCCATATTCTTGACAAATTTATATTGTTATCTACCAAGAAACAGTTTTTGTTTGATTTTGTTTGCTTTAAGTAACTAAAATAATTTTGGGGTTTCATTTTTAACTTTATAGCTGATCTTTTTCAGTTGCCAGCTATAAAGCCAGACAGTAGTCTCCATTTGTAAGATTTCTTTCACAGCCTCTTCACTCTGATATTCTTAACAGATGTGTAGGTGTTCAAGGAAGTAGTATACTTGTAAAGAAGTGGTCTAGTTCATGACATTATTTTAAATGTGTAAAAATTTCTTATAATAATCCATGGTTTACCTAGTAAAGTCATCTTCTGGATAATTGTTTAAATAGTAAGATTAGCTGCATATATGCAGACATCTCTATTTTAGATATGAAGAAAATTACTCTTTAAAATTGAGTTAATAATTTTGGAATGTACTGTAGAAATGAGATTTTTACCCTTTGCCCATTACATAAATTTGAAGAATCTCTGTGGCATCTTTGATTACTTCTTGATGTATGTGCATACACTATGCATATGTGTGTATGGATAGAGTTTGGCTGTACAAATTGGAACCATAAAAAGGGGAAATGTTACCAGGATTGCTAAGAGAACACATGGAGTATAAAACCTCCCCATATAAATCTGTCAGGAGCAGTCAGGATACTTAGGTAATCTGCCAGTGTGTATTTTTAAAAGGAAGTTTTATAAGAGTATGAGAGGTCAGGCGATCTGTGTCCTAAACCCCAGTTCTGCTACTATTCTGTCTCTGAATTCCTCGTCTCTTTAGAATTTGGTTTAAAACCCAACGGACATCTATATACTTGGTCTCCCTTGATATCATGTCTTTCCGCCCAATCTGTGTGTTTCTTATCAAGTACTCAGTAAGGTCTGACAAGTAATCTAGGGTAGTGATTTATGTAGGTTGAGTAGCCTTGTCCTGCTACCCTTGGCTTACTCCACCTGGTAATGCAGAATTATACCTTCCTTTCCTTTTTTTACAGTGCTTCTAGATTTTTCGTTTTGAAAAATCCAAATTGATGTGTAATTTTTATTATTAATTCATATTGTTTTTACAAAAACAATAAATGGGCCAAATATATGTTGGCCAGAATCAGCCTACCACCCATAAATTTACAACTGCCATTCTAGCACAATGATTTCTAACTAGAAGTGTCCGGTAAAATGACCTCTGTGCCTAATCTTTAACCCCCAGAAACAGATTTAACAGTTTTGGCAAAATTCCATGTCAGTACTGTTCCTCTCATGTCATTGAGCATTGCTACTGTTATTTCCATGCTGACAAGGTTTGGCTTACATACACATTTCATTGTAGATCAGGCCTGAGTTTGTCCTGCTCTGTTTTGGTGATGTGTTTAGCCTATAACCAGATTAAGAACAGCAAGTTGCTCTGCTTGTGTTTCCATCTGATCTCAACATTGATACCTCCTCCCACAGCCCTTCGGATTTGAGGAAGAATGCTTCCTGAGTTTGACAACTCTGTGCACAACCAACCAGAAAAAATTTCTAATTGCCTTGTTTCCGTGGTTAGACTTAAGCCTCTATAGGGGAAGAGCCCTACTGTTTATCATATGTGGTGCCAGTGATTGCTGGGTTTTGATAAGTTTTAGAGACTTTTTATCCAGTACTTGGAAATCTGTGAGGTTCACCAAAGAATGTCCATTTTGATCTGCCCTAGTTTCATATACATCTGTGATTGAAGTTTCTATTCATAGAGTAGCATCACTTCCATATGTGTGATATGATCAAAATGTATGGTAAATGTTTTAATTTAAAAGTTGTGTTACAGGGGCTGGGAATTTAGCTCAGCGCCATAAGCGCCTGCCTTGTAAGCAGGCAGTCCTGAGTTCGATCCCGGTACCGATAAAAAGGAAAAAGACAAAAAAAAAATTTGCATTACAGTAAAAGACACATTACGATTAATTTCCCTCAAGATAGTCCCCCATTCTTCAAACCTAATTAACTCATCATTCTTCCCATTTTCTGTAGCAAGTGTAGAAGTTTTCTATTGTGTCTGATTGCAAATGCAGTGAATGCTGCTGCCAAGTCCCATCCAATGGAAGGGCAGGCTTATAAACACATTATGTTGTGTCCTCATAACCTTATTTACCAGATCTGATATTGTGTGACTTCTGACTCTTCCCCAAAGTCAGAATGTCCATGAAAACATTTTGAGGGGCCGGGGATATATATAACCTCAGAAGCACAAGTGCCTGCCTGGCAAGTGCAAGGTCCTGAGTTTGATTCCTGATACCAAAAAAAGAATGCAGATATAGGACATATAGGCCACCAGAAAGCACATAATTCAAAAGAGTTATTAAAATGTTTCAGAAATTGAAACGTTTCAGAAACAGGGAAGAATGATTGGATACATACAATCACAATGAGCAGGAGTTTTTGAGAGCTATTAGTGACATGTATTTTATTGTAATAAATGTTTTTAATCATGCACCATTTTTAAAAATTGCACTTCGTATTGGTCCTTAGAGATTTGGGTTCTTGGCAGTTGATAATAGCAGATTACAAAACTGCTGTGCTGCGTTTGGCACCTGCAGTCAATGAAAGCATTACTGAAAAGGAAGTGTTTTGTACACTGATGGAGTCCTCATAGACATCAAAATTTAGAATGCTTACACCCTGAAATACATCTATGCAAGTTTCTAGGCAGAAAAGGTATTATTGTATACTGAAAAATTATTTAGTGGTTATATTTAATGCCAGTTTAGAACATAAACACTGCTTAGGATTCTGTTTCCTTGGGAGAAGTGTCCCTAGATATCTATATGATCACACCATTCATTGTTGACCCTCAAGGCTACCAAGCTTCTATAAGCTAGCCTCTATAAAGAAGCTAATAGATCCTCTACCAAGGGAGAATGTCCAAGAGTTACTCCTGCAAACAACAAAAGTTACCTCTTCTTTACTTATACATTATGGATCAGTTGTGACTCTGTTCCACATTATCTTCATCCTGGGGCCAAGAGTAACAGCACTTCTGGACTAGAACTAAGCTCATGACCAAGGGTGTTGAGGGGCAGGAAGGATATAAACTTAAACTGTTGCCTAAAGTGTCCTTTCAAAAGTGGCATATACAGCTTTCATCCATATTTCATTAGCCAAAGCAAGTCATGTGGCCACTGCTTATAAGCTAGGGGAAGATACATATTTTAAAACCTCTTTTTTGTTGTTGTTTTATTTATTTGTTTGGGTACTAGGAATCAGACTCAAGACCTCAGGCTTGCCAGGCAGGCATTGCATAACTGAGCTAAATCCCATGTTATTTTAAAAGTCTTACTACACTTCTGCTTTCTGAAGAATTACAGCCTGAATATTAGGCCTCTGCTGTCAGTCAACGAAAGTGATTAGACATTAGTTGAAACTTATGCTTGAATACTGGAACAGCAGTTGTGTGGCATGGCACAGCAGCCGTCTAGCTCTCTTGACTGTTCTTCCATAGTGAAACAGTAATCCTTCTACCATCTGAGACAGATAATAATTCCACTGATGGTCAGTGCTCTTAACGAGAACCATTTTACCCTTCTCTGTTCTTCCAAACTTAACTTCCAAGAATGCTTACCTAAATTAAACCACTAGTTCCCTTTTCTGGCCTTTGTAAAAACATGGAAGTAGTGTTCTATCCTGTGCTTGTTATAAGCTACAATTTCTAACTTGAAATTTCTCCTGTAATATTTAGCTGTGTCAGTTCCTGCTACCACAAACTGCTGTTTTAACTCTCTAATATTAGTTGATTTTTGCTTAAATATCTTACAATATTTGATCTAGTTTTACCTCTTCTGCAATCACCTCAGCATTCTTTTAATCCTTGTCACATTATTGAGTTCATTACTTATGCATCATGTTAAAGAGAATAGGGCACTTATAGTACAAATTCTAGTGAATAGTACTATACCAGTATTTCATTTGGAACAGTCCACTACTCACCTTGATTTCTCTTTTCTGCCTTATTTTTAGGCTGCCCGTCACTTCACTATGAAAACCTCAGAAAAAAATCTTTGGGAAAAGATACATATAGCGTGATAGCAAATTAGTATCTCCATAGGAGTACCTTTGAAGTATATTTTATCATATAAGTTCTTTTGTTCATTTGGGTTTGGTGTTGTGGGGTTTTTTTGGGGGGAGTTGTTGATGGTCGTTTGTTTGTTTTAATTTTTTTTATTTTTTTGAGGCAGGTCTCAATGTGTAGTTCAGGCTGCCTTGAACTCCCTTATGTAGCCTAGGTTGACCCCAAACTCATGATAATCCTCTTCCCTCAGCCTCCAAATGCTGGGATTATAGGCATATACAACTATATCTGGCATGTCATATAATTTCTTAGAGATTTGATAAAGTAGGAAATTAGATTTGCTTTTAAGGGCAAGAAATTTTTTATTAAAAAGGAGTACACACAAATATGATTCTTAAAGACTATCTTCTAAAAAAAAAAGACTATCTTCTACCCATTATAAATACCATTTTAAGAATATGATTTATAAAAATTTTATTTCTTTTTCCTTTTTTCATTATTTAGATCACAAGAGACCCCTGAAGATGGCCAGCCTCCGGCTTTACCACCCAAACAATCTAAGAAAAACAGTTGGAACCAAATTCATTATTCACAGTCTGAACAAGATCTAGAAAATCATACTAATGAAACATTTGATGTTCCCTCTTCCCCTGAAAAGTCTACCGTAAGTAGCTTCTTCAGATAGTCTTACTTTTCTTTCAGCTTTAAATACTAAAGCAGTTTATTTTTTATTGGAGCATGTTTTAGTTTTAAATTACAGCTTTCTCTCTTACTGGCTCTCTCACAGTGTTCAGAATTGAACCCAGGACCTAATGTATACTATCCAAGCACTCTACCACTGAGTTACAATATCCTTAGTCCTTTGTTTAAATTTTATTTTGAGACGAGGTTTGCTCAGTTGCCCATTTTGTGCTTGAAATTATTTTCCTCCTGCTTCAACCTCCTGAGTAGCTGGAATTATAAATGTGCATTACCATGCCCAACTAGCACTTTCTCTTTTTTATCATATTCTTTGGTCATGAATTATACTGTAATTACCCAATTATGGAATTTTCTTCTTCATTTACAAAATGCCTGTAGCTTTAGAAGTTAAATTATTAGCAAATTTATGTTGACTTCAATCTTGCAGACAAACCTCAGTTCCAGAACAAATGCTAGAACTGGTAATTCATTAAATACAACTAATTTTGCTATAGAATTCTTTAGTACAGAGACTTTATCATTTTCATCAACCTTTTGAAATTGAATACAGGTTTTTGGAGTGTATGATTTGCTCTGTGTTTTACAAAATAATTTATGAAGTGTTCTAGTTATTTTTGCCTTAGATAGTATGCTTTTAAAACCACAATAAACTGGAAAGTTGTTGAGAACCCTGGTTTATCAGTTTTCATTAGTTTCTCAGGTGAATTTAAAGAAATTGTGAGATTGTCAGTTTATTATAAGGATAATTTCCTGAAGAAATGTAAAGACAAATAAATACAGGTAATTTTGGCAACTTTAAAAGCCATCAGGAAATGAAATAAGATGCTAAGAGAGACAGGTCCACAACAGATATTGGCCTGCCTTTGGCAGCCACTGTACTCATTGCTTTCTCACGTCTTCACCCATAGCATCGTGCATTATGTAAAGTTGAAAGTCAAAAGGCAACCATTCTGTTCTCCCACACTTACTGCTCCACTACCATGGACATACCAAAAAAAGATAAGAACCTAAAAATTAACAACAACTCTAATATTACCTCTACAGTGACTCTAGTATATCATTCATATTTATTGAATTGAGTCATATTTGTTGAGCTCCTGCTGACACATTGATTGATGGAGATGGAGATACAAGATAAGTAAGATATAGTCTCTGCTATTATATAATTTATAACCTAATTTGTTTCTATATTCAAAAATTACTTCTGGGCACCTGTTATGTGCCACATACATATTGTTACAGGTTCAGGGGATATTACCAAATAATATATGAAGGAAAGAAGTCACTGTCTTTAAAGAACTTATATTTTGAACATAAATGGTAAATAATTTAAGTATATAGCAGTAATGCATAGTATAAATAAAGCAAGAATTAGAGAATTTCAGTAGGATTGCACTTTTAGATAGTGTGAACAAAGAATGAATTTAGTGATTTGCTGTGTAAATGTCTTATGAAAGAGCAAGAAAACTAAGGTAATAGCAAGTACAAGGATAGTGTCTTAATGTTTTCTATTATAGTAACAATAAATAACAGACTAGGTAATTTATAAAAAATAGACATTTATTTAGTTCATGAGTCTGGGGGCTGAGAAGTCCTATAACATGGTGTCAGCTCCCAAAAAGGCCCTTTCTGCTATACCATGACATGGCATCACATGGCAAAGCACAGCAAGCATGCTAACTTGGGTTTCAGGAGTTTTAAAACCAGGGTCTTGCTGTGTAGTTCAGGCTCGTCCTAAACTCACCGTGTAGCCTAGGCTGGCCTTGAACTCACAGCAATCCTCTTGCTTTAGCCTCCCTAGTACTGGAATTATAGGGATGCACTACCACACCTGCCTCCGGTGTTTTTTCTCATAAAGCCACTTATAGTAGGTCCCCACACCTAAGATCTTGTCTAGTCCTGTTTTTTTCCCAAAGGTCATATCTCCGAGATACTATCAATCTATGGATTTGAGGTTCAGTTTCAAACGTGTGAACTTTGGGGAACACATTAAAACCATAGCAATAGGATTATGCTGCATATAATCAAGGTACACCAACAGACAGTGTGGCTAGAAGAAAAAGAACAAATGAAAAGATAGGCTAGATCCTAAAGCCTTGTATTGTAAGGATTTTACTTTTTAACCCTGGGTGAGATAGGAAGCAAATGGATATTATAATGTTACTTTCATGGTTATAGGATCATACTGGATGTTGAATTAAAAATAGACTAAAAGTGAGACAGAAGCAAACATATTGGTTGTTAAGTTTCACAGTAGTCTCAGCCTGATTTAGACCAGTATGATGGCAGTACCAGAAATGAAATATGACTCTTTTGGCATATTCTCATTATATGCCAGTAAATCAGATATAAAATAAGAGAAGAATCAAATAATTTTAGTGTTTTTATCCTGTCCAGCTAGAAGGACAAAATTGGAAATTTTTGAGATGTAAAACATTGCAAATGGAGCAGGTATAAGCAGAGTGTCAGGAACTCAACTTGGGACATGCTAAGTTTGAGATTCCTACTAGGAGTTGGTTTGGAGAGGAAGACAGTTGGATGTATGATTGGATGGACCAGAAATGGGAGATCTGAACTAGTTATGAGTAGCTGATGGTATATAGATTGCATTTAAAAATCACAAAACAGAAATCACCAAGAAAGTGTATGTAGATGATTAAAAGGTTTTATTAGAGCCTTAAGACCTCCAACTTGTAAACATAAAGAAGATGGAAAAAAGAGAAATAAATGAGACTAAGAATTTGCAGACAGGGGCTGGGGATTTAGCTCAGCGGCATAAGCACCTGCCTTGAAAGCAGGCAGTCATGAGTTTGATCCCTGGTACCAATAAAAACGAAAAAAAGCCAAAAAAAAAAAAGAATTTGCAGACAGAAAGGCAAAAGAAAAAGTAGGCAACTGGCTGGTGTGAAGAAAGTCACAGAGTGACTTTGTCAGAGGCTACAAATAAGGAAGTTGAGAACCTAGAAGGACACTAGATTTAGTAATGTGAAAGTCTCTGGTATAATTAACTGTTGTAGTAGAGTGATGAGGATGAAAATCCAAATGATAGAACAAGATGAGAGGAAGTAAAGACAGCATATGCTTTTGATTTGCCAATGTTCATAGCTAAGTAATGCCAAGAGAAATGTATCTCTCTAAGTTGTTAGTCAAAAAATGTATTATCCTGAATTAATTCAAATAGAATTATGATTCTTTACATATTGTACATAATACAACTATACAGAAAACATGCTTTCATGTATATTTGAATGTTAGATTACAAATGAAACTTACATTTATTTTTGTCTTTTCAAGCCTAATGGTGGTATTCCACAAGATAATCTTGTTCTAATCAGAATGAAACCTGATGAAAATGGAAGATTTGGATTCAATGTAAAGGTAAGCTGGAATCTATGTTATACTGGGTTTTCACATTAAAAGATCTTATTTTGTTAATATTTAACTAATATTTAACTTACTCTTTTATCAAGGGAGGATATGATCAGAAGATGCCTGTAATTGTGTCCCGAGTAGCACCAGGAACACCTGTGAGTTTTTCTCTCCTTACAAGTAGATTCAGTTTTCAAGAACATATACTGATTTTGTCATTTTTTTCAGTCTGAGTAAGGGAAAATTTTTAATCATTTTTTTTTAGTTTATAAAATGTTATTGCATGGATCTTTTAAATTGTTGGGAAGTCAGTTTTTATTTGTTTTGTCTTTTAAAATAGCTACTTATGACTTTCAGTGCTCCCAAAGTATTAACAGGTTCTGCCAAAACAACCTCTTTTAAACAACAAAGTGAGCCGGACATGTTGCTGCATGTCTGTAATCCCAGCTGTCAGAAGGCTAAGGAAGGGTAATTGCTGTGAGTTTGAGGCCTGCTCCAAATTTAGAAAAGAGATTGTGACTGAGTGCAACTTACCAGGGTTGCTATATATAGAGAAAAACATGTACCTATTGTGATAAATCCTGCTATACATCATTCAGCTTCAACAGTCATGCATTTTCTGTTCATCATAGAACAAGTCTTGATTATGGACACATCATTTTTATTACTGTTACATGTAGCAAATACTCCTCTCAGATTTCCATTTGTTATTTTCTAATCTGTTTTTTTTTTTTTCTATTTTTCTTACCTAAATGGCTCTAAACTCCTTTTAACTATCTGTCTGTCCTGGAAAGTCATGAACCAGCAGTCTGAGAGAAAGATGCCAACTGTTTGTTGAGTTACTTTGCAGCAACTTCATAAATGGTTTGAAAATCACAATGAAGATTGATCAAGGACATCATGATAATGTGGGTTTCAATTCTGGTTCTTAAGGACTTTGTTGTTTTCAAGTAACAAGGTACTCAGGAAAACCCCATCATAATCCTTAATACAGAATTTATCAGCGTTATATAGGTATCACACAAAAGCCAGGTATAGGAATGCAGTCTGATCTCGGAAAGAAACTTTAAAAATCATTAAGACTGTCTGCTTGTCAACTCTGTCCTTTTTATGCAGTTTTTCTTTCAGTGGAAACCAATTTGAACTTTGAATCAGCTTTATCTTTCAGGTTACTAGCAGCTTTAGCCCAACTCCTTGTAGCACTGCCACCACACAGACATACATTAAAACCAGATTGTTTATCTTAAATCTCCACTAAATTCAATTGTACAACTACCCACCATTAATCCTTAGTCCTCAGCAGTATGACTGCTGTCTTAGTTACTTTTTACTCGCTGAGACAAAATACCTGAAGCCCAAAGTTGGGAAAGGAAAGGTTTATTTCTTACAGTTTTTGGAGGTTTCAGTCCATACTCAGCTCCAAGGCATAGTGGCATGGCAGGGCTGCAGTTCATGGCAGCTAGCAAGACATGCCTTCTTCCTGCCATTACGTCACATCCTGGCTCCACCCCTATGTGGGTGTAGCACTGACACCATCAATCCAAGCACTATGCAGTGAACCAATCACAGATGCATAATGTAAATGCATAAGGCCTGGGGACCACCTACATAAACCATGACAACTACTAATAACTTTTAGATATTTATGTTATCATCTCTGTAATCAGAGTGACAAAATCTCTCAGTCTAAATTGTAAATGTCCCCCATCACCAAATAAATAATTGCAGATGTCATAAAATGTAAACCCTTAATAGATTCAGCTTGAATCAAATGTCCTTGTTTGAAAAAACTTAATGATTCTTTAGAGTTGGGGACCAAGAATTATATGTAAAATAATTCCTGGAATCATAATGTGCATGTGAAGGAAGATGGTGAAGATGGAAGAGACAACCTAAAATTATTTATTGAATGGGAAACATGTATGGGTTTGGGACTGTAGGTGAAGTAAATAAACATTTGCAAAATAATCTGTCATGTAGAACATTCATAATGTTTAATATAGAGAAGAAAGGATAATGTTACTTGTAGATGGAGGTAACCACAAAAAGATACAGATAAAGTTGCGTCTAGTGTGTTAGAGAGGGCAGCTATGAGTTTCTCTTAATATACCCAATACCAGAAAAAGTAATAATCTGAAGGAATACAAATGGTTTTCTAATGACCTCGTAGACATAGTCATCTCTCTCAACTGCCATAACTTTTCTAAAAATAAACATTTAAAATCCTTAAAATCAATTATCTTTTTAGCAGGTAACTCCACTTTTAGGAATTGATTCTAATGAAAAGTATTTGAACTAGAAAACCATAGTACTTATACAACAGTGTTCATTATAGTGTAAAATTGAATAAAATCAAATTGTGCACCATCAGAATTGGTGAAAAAATTATGCCTTGCTTTGAGATAATTTTGTAGTTCTACACAAATATGGAAATATGCTCATAAAGTGGTATTATTTGAAAACAAATTTTGTAGTCTACATGCATAACATGGCACAGTTTTTTAAAACTTTAAAATTGTGTACGTATAAGGATGTGAGTATATTAAAAGTGTTAACAGTGTTTCTTCTGGATAATGAAATTATTGTATTGATATTTTTTACCTTCTGTGTTCCTCTTTTGTCTGAGTTATGACAATCAGCGTGTATGTGTTGCTTTTATAATTAGAAAAGATAATACTTTTTTTATTTGTGTGAAAATGGTAACAGTAAGTGAATAACACAAAAGCAATACTTGATCTTTCTGAGCAGTGAATGTTTTCAATTAGGAAGCGATATTTTTCAATTAGGTCATAGATATTCAGGGAACGTTCTGTAAATATACTCAGAAGTTTTCTCTCTCTCTCTCTTTCTTTTTTTTTTTTTTTTTTTTTTTTTTTTGTACTGGTAATCTAATTCACAACCTTGCAATTGCCAGGCACTTACACCATTGAGCTAAATCCCTAGCCCGTGCATAAATTCTCTTTTTCAGCTATACAAATTTTGATAATTTTTCTCTTCTGCCACATAGAACTATGTTCCATACATTGGCTAACAAAACAGTAAGGCTTTATCATTTTTTATTATTTTATTAATTTAGAGGTTATCACAGTCTTTAATTAGAAATCACATTTTTTATGTGATTGAAGGAAATGAGTTTTTAAGTATTTTAATATCTTATTTATAGTGGATATTTGAAATGAATAATTCAATTAAAATCATGTTTTTCTTTCAGATAATCTTTTAGCTAAATACTATTGCTTCAACAAAATTCATCTGTAATTACTCTAGACTTTCTAGATAAGAATGAAGTTCTAATAAAAGGCAGCTTAAGTATAAAAGAGTTTCTTTTACTGGTAATGGGTACAATAAGAGAAACTCATAGATGCCCTCTCTAACACACAGACCACCTCCTCTTTTCTACCAACTATAGTATTCATAAAGTAACATGAGGCCTCTTTCTGCTATAGCCTTATTACATTTCTCCTATTAGTTCCCACTCTATTTCCCTTCTGGTATCCCAGACATTTATAAAAACTTGGAATTGAATTTGTGTACAGAAGTGCCACATTGCTCATGGGTAGAGGGAATTTTATTAGTATCTGTCATCTACCCACTACAGAAGTAGAGAAGAAGCAACTGATGATAATGGACAGGCCGGGGATTTAGCCCAGTGGCATAAGCGCCTGCCTTGCAAGCGCAAGGTCATGAATTCAATCCCCAGTACCAAAAAAAAAAAGCAAAGAAAAGAAAAAGAAAAAAGAAAAAAAGAGAGAATGGGCATAACCTTAAATTATAATATTCCAGATTTTAAAGCCTTGAATGGAATTATTTCGGTTTTATTTTCACAACTCTGTAAACTAATCAGGACAAATATCTCTTCCATTTTTAGAGTTTCACGTATCTAAGATCACACATTTTCATAGGCTGCAGAGGAACAACTTGGCTTTTAAACCAATGCTTTTTTCTACTAATTACTTTGAATTTATGGAGTCAGTCAGTCAGTATGTATGTATGTATTCATATTTTCAAAACAAGACAATAGAAATTTAACAATGGTTGTGAAACTACACGTTATCTTCAAAATAGTTACTCAGGTTATTAGACACAATAATAAAACAAAACAGGAAAACAAAACAAAACATTCGATTTCAAAAAACAAGCAAGGGGAAATCCCTCACAGTTGCCTCAGTACACACTGCCATCCTCCAAGTAGATGCCCAGACCACCAGCCCCAGGCCTGCAAAGTCAACCAAACAACACAGACATCAAGCTATTCCTTTCACCTCAGTTGCCATCATCTCATCCTGAGTCCTCCGAGTCAACCAGTTGCTTACCACAGTGGTGGATAGGGGTTGGGGATACTCTTCTGGTTTCCCAGCCCACACAACAGCTGGATTGTAGGAAGGTGTAGTTTGTCTTCTGGCTGATTCTCTTCCCGATCTGCATGGTGAAATCAGTATTTATAGCAAATTTGAGTAGTTGTGCTTTTATTTCTTCACACCTTTGTCATAGGACATTCTCTTTCTTAGAAGTTCCTGCCCCATCATTTCTTTCTCTGTCAGGCCTGTCATCTTTGTACGTGAGTCTCATGTGTCATTGCTGTTTTCCCGAACCACACTGCCCATATATCTATCCCTATTATTCTTTTTTGCTATAGTTATTGGTTTTGAGTCAGTATAGACAGTCCTCATTTTATACAGTAATGTAAGACCATATATATGACCATCCAAGAGAAAATGTGCAGTGATCTTATCAATTGGAAAAATTATACTTCTCATAATTTTAAATTTTTGTCTAGTCATTAAAATCTCTATAAAAAAGTAAAGAAATAAAATATACTAAAACTGGTATTTACTATCCTGTAATTCAGAACATCAGGAACACTGAGAAGTAATGTTTAATTTCTTGAAAATTTGTCACCAGTAGTTTGAATGGTGTTTGCCTCCTTTTCATAAAACTTACAGTACAGAATGGATATCTTTCTTTGCCTTGACAAATTTAGCATGATCCTTTGTACATTTAGACCTACTTCTTGAACTTTTGTGTGGTATAAAAGCAACTCCTAGTGTTTGCTTATCTTGAGTCTCTCAGACATCAGTACTGTCAACCTTCCCATGGTCAAGCATTTCTTCTCTTAACTCCACTTAGTCATGCTTGTTTCTTTTCCATGTTCTCTTATTCAGTGGCTACTTTCTTTATGTTTCCTGCTTATTTTGCCAGGTAAGGCAGATAAGGATAAGCTGATTAAGGCTGGCATTTTTGATTTCTGGTTTTCAAGACTGATTATTTTCAGGCAAGGCCATATTTTCAGGAAAACATGTCAAAATTTGTACGTCATGCAGTGATAAACAGTTTATTTTCATGGTAATTAAAATTTGGACTGTTGTTGAGACTTGTGCTACTTAAGCCATGGTACCTGAAATTTGTACATATGTAGATGGTACAAATTTAGGGCTGCCCATATGTATACCTCTTGAAATCATCAGTGTTACTTGGGTCTCTAGATACATAATACATCATCAGGAAGTTGTTGAATGAAGGAAAAAACTAGATTTTTACATTTCTAAATAGGTGAATAAATGCTTTTCTATCTGTAGTTAAAAGTTCTGCTGTAGAGTATAAAAAAATAAAGTTCTGACCTTTACTCTTAGAAAGCCTCATGAAAGTGTGAAACATTATCTGCATTCCATTACAGGCTGACCTCTGTGTCCCTCGATTGAATGAAGGGGACCAAGTTGTACTGATCAATGGTTGGGACATTGCAGAACATACCCATGATCAGGTTGTCCTTTTTATCAAAGCTAGCTGTGAGAGACATTCTGGGGAACTTGTGCTTCTAGTCCGACCTAATGGTAAGTTCTTTATGTAGCACTCTGTATTTGTCATATACAGTACTGTATTTCGCTGGGTGCAGAGCCAGAGTGGGCTTTGTCAAACATGTCATGTCAGTATTTTGCCGAATGATAGTACCTGCCATCTACACTTGGTAACGAATCCAAATTTTTGACACCATTATCTCCCACTCATCTTTATTCATTCTCTTCTCTTGTACACTGGTTTCCTTATTGTTCCTTAAATATTCCAATCTGATCTACTTTAGGGTCTTTACACTCATTGTTCCCTCTGCCCAACAAACTCTTCTTCGTTTTTCTATGGCTTATGTCCTTATTTTATTTTATTTAGGTCTCTGTTACAGTGCTATTCTCAGAAATGCTTTCTCTGCTTATTCTGCCATAGCTAAAGTGGCCTCCCTCTTTTCCAAATAGTAGTATTAAGTATTTAATAAATACTTAATGGGTGAATGAACAAATTTTGAATTTTGTTTCACTTCTAAATAATCTTAAAAATCTAAAGTTAAAATTTTTTTTTTAAAAATGTTTATATTTTCAGTAGGTAATGTCTACCTACCTGATCATGTCATCTCCTGATTCAAACACATGACTTGTTAACTGCTAATCATGGAGCTCTAGGTTTGGAGAAACATTAAATATCATATGCTCTAATTCCTTTGTCAGTTGGATTAATTTCTTCTACAGCAACATCAAAAGCATCCTACTGAAACATTCAGTAGCTCTTGAAGCAATGCATTCTACCTTTGGATAGCTTAAACTATGAAATTGAACTGAAAGTATGTTTTCCTTCACTCACATTCTTCATAGTTCTATCACTTTGTGCTCTGTGTATATTAATCATTCTTCAGTTTTGAACAATAGCTGATTTACTAGAAACACTCCCCATTTTCTCTAAAGTCTTCAACACTTTCTCTAAAGTGTTCAGAGGACATTGTTGGTTGTTTTCAAAATCCCTTAACATTTTATCAGTTTCCTTTAAGAAAAAAATCCAATATGCCAGCAGAGTACATAGTTGTATAGTTTTTTCTAAAGTATGTACCACAAAGAAGTAAAATGTAATTAGAATTACATTTGTCCATCATGCCAAATGCTGCAGAATTTTGAAAAAAAAACTCATTTTAATTAAAAACAAACAAAAATTGGGCACAGTGGTACATGTTTATAATTCTATCTACTTGTGACCCTGTGTTTTAAAATTTTTTAAAGGTAAAGAATATTGGAAATGTGCGGCTGGGGATTTAGCTCAGCGGCATAAGCGCCTGCCTTGCAAGCAGGCAGTCGTGAATTCGATTCCTGGTACCAATAAAAAGGAAAAAGACTAAAAAAAAAGAATATTGGAAATGTAGCTCTGTAATAAAGCATCTCTGGATTCAATCCCCAGTACCACCAAAGATAAATTTTTTTATCTCTTGATTAAGAACTGACATTTTCATTTTTATCAGCTTTTATGTTTTTCTCCCATGATGGCCTATAATTGACTTTCTAGGAAGATTAATAGTTCTTCTCCAGAACATTCTATTTTGAGTTTTCAAGGAACTTGATACTGAGATGATTCACTCATTGCTAGGCATTTTTCTATCACATAAAGCTTCTTGAATTTTATACCAAGAAAAACATTTACTTATCCTGTTTTCTCTTCATAATAGGCACTAGAGACCTTAAAAATATCAATAACAATAGTTAATAGTGACTTAAAAGCTCTCTATATTCTTAGTCCCTTTTGTATGTTCTCATTTAATCTTTATACCAGACAGTATAATAGATCAATTCTCGTCATCTGAGTTTAAGACACTTGGGCACATGCGTTCAGTTATCTGATGACAGATTCATTACTGATTTGGATCCAGAATATGAACAAGTCTATGTGAGGGCAAAGGCATAGTCTTTATGCAGTTTCACAGTGCCTCATTTATGCTTTGAATTAGGAGAACCTGCCATGAGCCTGCTTCTGGCAGAATATGCTTTTTCTATTAAAAGTGCTAAGGATCAAACTCAGGGCCTCCTATATGCTAGGCAAGAGCTCTACCACTGAGCTATATACCCTGTAAAAATCTTTCTAACATTGTTTTATTGTTAAAATATGGACCAGGCCCTCTATTCATTTTCAGTATGGGTCTGCCATACCTGTTTTTACTTAAAACAACCTGTAATCAAAATTTAAAATTGTATTTGCCAAGAATATACTTTTACTTTTCTGATCTTTTATCCTGTTTTCATTTCTTTTTAGGCAAAAGATAAACAAAAAAATACTTTTTTTGTCTTTTTTTCTTTATTCCAGTATTTAATTTTTCTCAAAAATTCATGTATGTCTGAGGAGCAACCAAACCTTTAGACAAGGGTAAAAGAGTCTTCTACCATGGCTCCATACTTTAGAAAGCCCTGCTATGCATTTTGTTCAGTCGTGCCTCTTCTAACAGAGTCAGATTTTGCAGGACCAAATAGAAATGCCAAACGGTCACCTGTAACCTCTCCTCTTTTTTAAAGCACTTTTTTTTACCCTTAGTTCTCTGCTCTAACAACTCTAAGGCTAATTCTAAGGCCTTCAGAGACATTTTCCACTGGCCCACTTTTTCCAAAGGTGGATAGCATGGTATGTTTGTAGGCCAGCAAGATGACTCAGAGGCAGTAGTTGGCAGAAGAGGAGAGTGGAAGAAGCTTACCTGTGAGTTAGGTTGTCCATATATATCAACTCTAACGAATAGAGTTGATAAGAGGAAAACAAGTAGGGTAGACTGTAGGCCTGAAGTTTATGGTCATGTGCCTTGTAACCATGAATTTTGGCCTTGAACTCTCGTCTGAAAAATGGCCTCCTAGCTTGTTTTATAGAAAGAAAAAGAGCATATTTTTTGGCACTGTATTCATTTTATTTGTAACTTATATTTAGATGGGTAGTATGCGTTACTATTTGTACTTTGTCCCACAAATTAAAGGCAAGTCTAATCAGTGATGCTTCTAAAATGTCATTTCAAGTTACAGACATTTTAGGCATATGACCAAGAATGCTTCTATTCTCCCACAGGTATATCAAAACACTTCAACCTCACAGCCACTCTGGATCCTTACAGAGTGGTACCAAACTCATATCTGCTATAATTACTCAGAAATGAATCATTTTACTCACATAAACTAGAAAACATATCTCTTAAGTTCTTATAAATTCCATTAAAGTTTATGTCTTTTTTGTTTGTTTAGCTGTATATGATGTAGTAGAAGAAAAGCTAGAAAATGAGCCAGATTTCCAGTACATTCCTGAGAAAGCCCCACTAGATAGTGTCCATCAAGATGATCATTCCTTGCGGGAATCGATGACCCAGCTAGCTGAGGGGCTTATTACTGGAACAGTTCTGGCCCAGTTTGATGTAAGTAATAACATTGTATAGAAAATATTTTCCCATATTTTCTAGTTACCTTCATGGCTTCTTTAAGTGTCTAATCTACTACCCATTATGATTTATAAACTAAAATGGTATCCTGAGAAATATTTGGCATAAAGAGTTCCAAAATCCAAAGTTGTTTAAATTACTCCCATAATACTAGTTATAGTTGTATAAATGGTCTCTGCCTCATTTGTATTGTATTGTATTGTATTGTATTGTATTGTATTGTATTGTATTGTATTTTTAGTACCAGGGATTGAATTTACAACATTGGGATTGCCAGGCAGGCACTTACGCCACTGAGCTAAACCACTGGACCTAGTTGTATAAATAGATGTCCTTTTTTGGGTGGAAATGAAACTTTATATATTTTTTTCAAAGTACATTTTTTTCTGTAATTGAGTAGCTGTTTTTGTGAAAGATAGCACACTAGGATAGCCTGAAACTCTTGAGTTAAAGTAAAGCAACTTTTGTATTCGAAGTATATATCCTGTTAGATTCAATCTTTCTCTAATTTTTGTCAGTGTACCCTTGAAAATTCTCAGATCACTGTATCAGAAGAATAGAATGTAGCCCAGTATGATAGTGCATCCTCTAATCTTAGCACTCTTGGGAGGCTGAAGCAGGAGGATTATAAGTTTCCCCAGCCTGGGCATCTTACTGACTTAGCAAGATCCTGTGTCAAAATTAAAAAGGGCTGGGTATACAGCTCAGTGCAGAGATCCCAGATTCAATCCCCAGTACTGGAAAAGAAAGGAAAAAGTAAGGACAGATAGATAAACAGGAATGCTTCTCAAGAGCGTTAGAGCTATTTTGATTAGTATTTGGTATTTTGATTAGTGAGCATACCATAGGTTTGAACTTCTGTATTTGGAATATGTGAACTTGTTTTGTTTAATAAAACTAGAAGTTTTTAGTGTACTTTTCAAAGTGGTTGTCATTAATATTATTGCTCTCAAGTTTATGTTATTGATAGAACGATTGCGATTATAAACATTTTAAGGCACATGTCAAGTTTTTCTTCTAAAAAGTTCTTAGCTCATATTTTTCAAAACTGTGAGTATTTCTGGTGTAAGCAAAATTGTTCGTACTTGTTTTATCATTTTTCAAAGTATATAATTCACATGAAAGACTGCAGAACTCAGGGTTGCAGTTCTGTTTCAGTACTCTATGTATTATTAGTGCATCATCCTGTAGTGGAAGTAGTCAAAGGAAAAATCCTGTTTTCTTTTAGTATACAAATAAGTGTGAAAAACAAAACAAAATTTTGATAGCTTATTCAATTGATACCTTTTTTTTAAAGCAACTATATCGGAAAAAACCTGGAATGACGATGTCTTGTGCCAAATTACCTCAGAATATTTCCAAAAATAGATACAGAGATATTTCGCCTTGTAAGTATTTGTCATCTCTTAAATTTAATTTTTTTAACAAAAGTGTATTAAAATGTTGATTCTAGGCTGGGGATAGTAAAATGTGTGCTTACCATATTCAAAACCTTGGATCAATCCCTAGCATCAAAGAAAAAAAACACCTCATTATGTCTTTGAATTTTTTTCAGATGATGCTACACGGGTCATTTTAAAAGGTAATGAAGACTACATCAATGCAAACTATATAAATGTAAGTAGTTTTTTGTTTTTGTTTTTGTATTATGTTTTGTTACTTGAAAGAAACGGCCACTATAAATTCTGAGATTGCCGGATGTGGTGCCGTACCAAAGGTTGAGGCAGGAAGATTGCTGGGAGTTCAAGGCCAGAGTGAAGTGCATAGTGAAACCTTGACTCAAAAGAAATAATAAAATTTGAGATTAGTGCCTTTTTTTGAAAGTCTAAGCTTAATAGAAAATTTAAATTTCCAGATATTAAAAAAACATTACAAAAGGAATGTTAAATAAACTTGTTTGGTATTACTATATAACATACAGGTAGCACAGTATAATAGAATATTCCAGTCCAGGATATTACAACTGAGACTAAACTGAATATTAAAACTTTGTGTATGGCAGAGGTGGTCTTTTAAATCACTGGAGGTAAAATAGGCTAGGTAGTAAATGGGCCTAGTCAATTATGTATGTTTTACTATTGTAAGGAGAAGCCTACTGCCACCACCAAACAAGGGAGTAGGGAGAATGGTTCACTGTTTTGTTTTGTTTTTTAACTTTGTAATGTAAAAATTTTTAAATGTGTTCATCTACAAATATTTCACATGTTCTAGATAGCTATATTCAAAACATGTCAAAATACAAATATAAAAATGAAATTGTGGTGCATACCTGTAATCCTAGCAGTTGGGAGGCTAAGACAGGAGGATTGCCATGAATTTAAGGCCAGCATGAGCTACGTAGTGAGCTGAAGGCCAGTCTGAACTACTAAGCAAGACCCTGTCTCAAAAAAAGAAAAAATGAAATGTGAAAATACTTGGAAGAAATCTGTGAAAAATTGGTTAATATTTCAAAAGGAGGAAGGTCTTTCTAAGCTTAGTACATGTCTACACTAAAAAGAAACAGTTGATGAATTTGTTAATATAAAGTTTTAAATTTTTCATATGATTTGAAAATACGGAAGTCCAATGATAGACTATTACAAATATTAGAAAAGAGTCCTTGTACAATGAGCTCTATAAATGATTTAGAACTAGTAATGGATAGGGACATTGAAAAACAGTTCAAAGAAAATGAAATATAAATGATATTTTAAATTTAAGAATAGTAAATGATATTTTAAATTTAAGTAACAAAGAATCCTTCATATATATTATCTAGCTTCAAGAGCTAACAACAAATGGCCAGTTTTGTTTCATCTAAACGTTATTCTGTAAAGTACTTTTTGAGCCCAAATACATCACTTTATTGCCAGGTGTGGTGGCATACTCCTGGAATCCCAGCACTTGGGAGGCTGAGGTATGAGGATCACCATGAGTTCAAGGCCAACCTGGAATACATAGTGAGACCTTGTCTCAAATAAATAAATATACAAATAAAGTGATGTTTGTTACAGCTTCAGTAGTTGTAACAAACTACTTTATTTGTAAATACAGTTGTCACTATTTAAGATACTACAATGCATGAAGTCTTTGCAAATATCAAATTAGTGACTAATGAATGATTAGTTCTAAAACAAATGCAGAATTAGGTTCCCAAAAGCCTCTAATCACAATATTTTCATCATAAGTTTGTTTCTGTTTAAAAACACTGTGTTTAATATACATTGTTGCTTCATTTTAACATTGAGTTCACACCTAAAGAAAGCTTATCTCTAACACATTTTGTCCATGAGGCACATGACAGCCCTCTTCCACTTCGGAATACCAGGCAGCACTTAAACACTGCATTTGTAAAAAACAAAATCAACAACAAAGAACACAAAAATGTGAAAAATGGGGCACCACCTACCCTCCAAAAAGCTACTTTTTTACAGGATGATGGTTGAAACCAGATAATTACCTTTTTTGTCATCAACTGGAATCATCCACATCTGGTGGCCCAGATTTTTTGTTGCTCTTTGCATGCTTACGAATGACCAAAAAGCCCTACAACTGTCTTAAGGTTATATATAAATTTTGGCAAGTGGTCAAAATTGCAAAAGCAAAATTTGAATGAGGATAGACTGCTTTAATATGTTACTCTGATAAGGAGTTTGTTGTTTTAGCAAAATCAGTAACATTACAACACTTAGAAAAACAATATCAAGCAATTAAAAGTACACTTAATTTATAAAAAAGAAAGATATCAAAATAGTAAGAAATTATTGTTTTTCACCTAGGAAATTGAAAGATTAAAATTTGATAATACCCTATTACAGATTCACACACACCTTGCAGTCAAATATGCTTTGAGAGTCAGCATTTTTGAAGATCTAAGAGGTTATTCTTTTTATTAAAGTAAGTTAACATCTCTACTAGATTATGGGACAAGTGCCCTATAATAAGTATCAATATACTTGTACAATCTACTGCATGACTTCCCAGTCAAGTGAAAACAGAGAATATAAATAATCTTAGGTCACTGAAGGTCAGATTTTGCTGTTATATGAGCTTAGGTGAGGTCAGATTTACCAGTGGGAGAAACAAAAGCCTTAAAGTTCAGATGTTTGGAAGTTTTAGAATTGTAGGTAAGCAATTATGTTTATATTACCAAGTATGGGGAAAAGATTTTCCTGTGTTATTCTTGATAGACACACAAATTGGTAAAACCTCTTTGGTTAGCAAAATTTTAAATGTATATACAGTATTACCTAGCTCTTGTTTTTTGTTTCCCTTACAGATATATTTTTGTTTGCACCAAAATACTAAACTTAACAAAAGCATTCAGTTCAGCCTTGTTATTGTTCACAAAGAGAATAACACTCCTTAAATGCTAAGTAAATAGCAGTACATTTATACAGAAGAGTCATTTAAAACAATGAAATTATATATACTGATTTGACACAACCTCAAAAAAAATAAGATGTCAAACATTGTAATAAACTACCACTTTTTAAATAGTTTTAAAGAAAAATAGGAAGATGTTTTCATATTATGTACATCTGCAGGCTGTGAGTAGTGTATCTCTGAAAAGGTAGTTTAAAGTTATTTTATATGCAAAATCGAAGCTCAAATAACATGTGGCAGAAATTGTTCATCTTCATAGGCAAGTGTAGTGGCACACTCGTATAATCCTAGCACTTGGGAGTTCTTAGGTAGAAGGACTGTCACAAGTTTGAGACCAGCCTAGACTACATAGTGTGTTCAAAGCTTCTCTGAGCTACATAACAAGACCATATCTCAAAAAACAAAAAGAAAGGAAGAGAGAGAGAGAAATTTTAATCCTCATAAAATTTACCAATAAGTTACTTACAGATTGGCATTTTTATTTCTTTACTCTCTGCCTCTGAAATAGCATCTCCATAGAGCTACTTTTAAAACCACAATAGTGTTTTGGAAAATATTCATACTTAAATCTCTCCTTCTACTAAAGTAAGTATAACTATTTAATGTTGCCCTTTTATTTGGTGCCAGGGATCGAACGCACGATCTTGTGTTTGCCAAACAGGAACTTACACCACTGAGCTAAACCCCTGGCCAATGTTGCCAATAAATTTCTTGTACAGATAAAATTAATGTTGAAGATTGTTTTGCTGATTACATTTTATTGAATTAGTCATATTCAATTTCCTGATCAGTTAGTAAATGTTTTCAGATTCACAACATAGTAAAATCATATAATGCAAAAGATTTTACTTCAGGGGCTGGGGATTTAGCTCTGCGGCATAAGCGCCTGCCTTGCAAGTGTGAGGTCATAAGTTCAATCCCTGGTACCAATAAAAACAAAAAAGAAAAAAAAAAAAGATTTTACTTTAATGCCTTTTTCATTTTAGATGGAAATTCCTTCTTCAAGTATTATTAATCAGTACATTGCTTGTCAAGGGCCATTACCACACACTTGCACGGATTTTTGGCAAATGACTTGGGAACAAGGCTCCTCCATGGTTGTAATGTTGACCACACAAGTTGAACGTGGCAGAGTAAGTCACAGTTGAATCTCACATGCTGCTTGGACTTTTATCAAATTATATTGTATATATAATCAAAATAATCTCCTATGGTTTTATGATGTGAATCATCATGGTTTAGTGCATAAAATGGTGATTAACACATGATAAATGTGACTAGAGCCATTGAAAGGATTACATAGCTAGGCATGTTGACCCATGCTTGTAGTCCCATCACTCTGGGAGACTGAGACAGGTGGATTCCAAGATGAAGCCCAGCCTGGGCAACTTAATTTATTGAGATCTTGTCTAAAATATAAAAAGAATGAAAATGTATGCAGTGGGCTTGTGTATACAGTGGTGCCTTAGTTCACAAGGTCTTTCTCTCCATGATTCTAGTCACAAACCAAACTGAATGAGAACTGAATCAAATTTTCCCCACAAGGTCAACTTGGAACCTAATCACTGAATTTGATTCAGTTCTTGTCCAACTTGGATTGTGACCAGAATCATGGAAAGAATCAAGTTTGTGAACCTAGGCACAATTATATGTACAGAACTCTTACAGCTTTACAATAAAAGGACAACCTAATTTTAAAAAAGGGAAAAGTATTTGAACAGATACTATTAGTGACCTGAGAAATGCAAATCAAAATCACAGATACTTTATATCCAGTAGGATGGCTAAAATAAAAATGATAGATAAAAGAAGTGTTATTTATGATGTGGAGAAAACAGAACCACACCCTGCTTATAGTTTTATAAAATGGACAATTACTTTGAAAAAGTCTGGCAGTTCCTCAGGTTAAATATAGAATTACTGTACCTTAGCAGTTGGATCTACCCAAGAAAATTGAAAATATACGTCCACATAAAAATTTGTTCATGAAGCCAGGCACAATGGCGCGTGCCTGCAATCCCAGCTCTGGGGATGTTGAGGCAAGAAGATTTTGAATTCAAGGCCAGCCTGGACTAGATAGTGAAGATTTGTCTCAAATACAAATTTCTTCTTCTTGGTGTTCATGAGCATTCATAGCATTCCAGCCTAGCCAAAAAGTGAAAATAACTGTTATACCAAATAAAATCTGATATATAGTTAAATATTTTGGCAATAAATAGCAATGATATGTGCTATAATATGGATATGTGTGGAAAATTATGTTGAATGAAAAAGTTGGGCAAAAAAAAGACAGCATATTGTATGATTCAATTGTATGAAATATTCAGAATAAGCAATTCTATAGAAGCAGAAAGCAAATTAGTGATTGCCAAGCTCTAGGTTAGAAAAAGGAGGATGGGTAGGATATAATACACAGTAACTACTAATAAGTTACAGAGGTCTTTGGGGTTTAATGAAAATATTCTAAAAATGATTGTGGTAGTAGTTGTATAACTCTGAATATACTGAAAACAACCACAGACTTTAAATGTGTGACCTATATGATCACAAAAAGTATGTAATTAAAGCTAATAAAAATTTGTAAAAATGGGGTTAGTAGTGTAGCTCAGGAACTCTGGATTCAATTTCTGACACCAAAAAAGAATCTTAGAAGTTTAGCAGGGATATTTGTAAATTATAACCAGATTACTTAATTACAAAGGTTAAATATTACAAAGAAAAAAATTGTAATAGTTGATTGAGGTGAAGAGTATAAGAAAATTCATTAAATTATTCCTATACTTATTTGTATTTAAAAGTTCTTAAAAGTGAAAAATGAAAATTGGATAAACATATATACAATATATATGTATATATGGTTCTTCAGTTCTTAAAACATATATTTTGTTTGTTTGTTTAATTCTATTGATACTAGGTTAAATGTCACCAGTACTGGCCAGAACCCACAGGAAGTTCATCCTATGGCTGTTACCAAGTCACTTGCCACTCTGAAGAAGGAAACTCTGCCTACATCTTCAGGAAGATGACGCTATTTAACCAAGAGGTAAAAAAAGCAGGATCTTGAGGCTGGAGATTTAGCTCAGCGCCATAAGCACCTACCTTGCAAGCAGGCAGTCGTGAGTTCGATCTCTGGTACCGATAAAAATGAAAAAGACCAAAAAAAAAAAAAGCAGGATCTTATTCATAAGAGCTCTTGTATTCAAGATCGATTTTGAAAGTTGAAAATACTTTTAATCTGAGTGCTAATTTTTCAGCACTACAAAATTACTGAGCTGTTTGTCTAGTTTAATAGGATACTTTGAAATTTTATAAAAAATATTCCTGTGTCATAATAAATGCATTTCCATTCTGCCACTAAATATGAGTAGTCAATGTGAAAGGAATCTATAAATAGTACTTACTAGTATTTTGCCTATTCATAGCTATTATCAAAGAATATATTTGGTTATAAAAAAACCTTTACTCCAAGTACTTCCAGTAGAATATTTAGGTATGACTGTGGAAATAGAAAAAAACAATTGAGAGGTGCCAGTTTTTTTAAAGAATAAGGGTTAGCAACTTCACAATCACCTCAGTATTAAGAAAGAAAAAATCATAAGCAGCATCTTCAACAAAAGATAGGTAGAGCTTTCTAACTGCCAACTCTTAATTCTACTGAGTCACTCCCCTTGGCTTCCGAAACTGAAAATGGAACCTGATTAATAATGATGACTCAGTGTCCCTACTGGAAGATTTATAGAGAAGGCACAGTGCTGCTAGTATTGACAGGCTACTAGAGACTATGCTCCACATTCATTGCCCACAACCAAATATTCCTTTGCCAGCCACTTGTGATTTTGAAAGGGGCCAAAAGAAGAAGCAAGTAATTACTGGAGAACAAACAACACAAGCTGTGAAGGCCCAGTCCTCTCCCACCAAAGGTTAACCCTTTGAAAATACCCTATTCCAAGGATATGCTTCCAGGAGACCAGTGCAACATGCCTTTCTGATTGCAAGGAAAGGAGCCAGATTGTGCTTATTTAAGAAAAAAGAATTTGGCACTGAATGATGCTAAAGTGACAAGAGTTTAAAAGCTAAATTTCATTTAAATGAAAAGGGATTTCAGGCTTGGAAACATACATTGTATAGCTCATAGTCTAATGTAACAGATCAAGCCAAATAGATAATGAAAAATGACTTTATAATCTCAGAAAACCTGTTCTTGAGTAGTTATGGGTAATAACAGATATTCTCATGCAGTCTTTATAACGTAAGACTGTCAGCTCATAGAATTATAAATGTCAAATGAAGAAACTGAGACTGAAATTATTGCATGCCATAACCAGAAGAATCATGATTTGAGTCAATATATATTTAAATCCAGTGCTCTTAGTCTCTTCATAGTACTAATCCTTGGCTTGATATTTTTATGATCTCCTGTGTGTGTGTGTGTGTGTGTGTGTGTGTGTGTGTGTGTGTGTGTGTGAGTTACTACGGGTTGAACGTAACATGTTCTCACTGAGCTACCTCCCCAGCCCTTTTTTAATTTTGATGCAAGATCTCACTAAATTGCTAAATTGCCCAGGCTGGTTTTATATTTGTGGTCCTCCTGCCTCTCCCTTCCAAAGTGCAGGGATTATTGGTATGTACCACCATTTCTGGTTCATCACCTCTGACTTTTAAACTACATTTATTTGAAGAGATTTTTTTTCCTAAAATCTCATCCCTGTCTTATCAGAGTTATCCCAATTTTGATAAAATAAAAAATGGGTTTTTTTAACATTCTTGATCACCTAGCAGTTCTTTAATCTTTAAGCCCTTCTCTGGATCTTAATTTAATTTTGCCTGTTTAATTTATTACTGTCTTAAAAACGCAAGTAAAGAAATTAAGATATAGAAATGATAGTGATAATAAATAGCCAATATTTAAATATATACAAGTGTTTCTATAAAATGTTTTTTTAGCTGGGCATGGTGACGCACACCTGCAGTTCCAGCACTGGATAGTCTGAGGCTGAAGGGTTGCCTTGAGGTTAAGGCCAGCTTGGACTATATAATGAGACCCTATCTCACAAAAATCAAAGTAAAATAAAAGTAGGTGTCTTTCCTTTTGTTAAAACATAGGGTTTTAGTGAATTTATACAGGGGTATAGTTGTTTTTCTTTCCTTCTGAAATTAAAATGACATGAGTACTACATTTATTTGTAAAGATAATTCCTAAGTCAAAGTGTATAATTTTTCTTTTGCACTTAGAAAAATGAAAGTCGTCAACTCACTCAGATCCAGTACATAGCTTGGCCTGACCATGGTGTCCCTGATGATTCAAGTGATTTTTTGGACTTTGTTTGTCATGTACGAAATAAGAGGGCCGGAAAAGAAGAACCTGTTGTTGTTCATTGCAGGTATTATATTTCTTGTTGTCTATGAATGAATAACTGACACAATATGTCATATTTTAAATAGCGTATCACACATATATTATTTTGTCTTTATGTTGTAATTGTCATTGATAATTAGAACTCAAAAGCTAGGGGCTGGAGATTTAGCTCAGTGGCATATGCGCCTGCCTTACAAGCAGGCAGTCGTGAGTTCGATCCCTGGTACCGATAAAAAAAGAAAAAGAAAAGGACAAAAAAAAAAAAAGAACTCAAAAAGCTGTGCTCTTAAGATAGAAGGCAAAGAGAATATTCTAACATAACATTTGGCAGAGATAAAATGAGAGATAAATTTATGAGAGATTATGAGAGATAAAAATAATAGATATTAATGGGGTATGGTGGTGATGCACACCTATAATCCCTGTGTTTGGACAGACTGAAGCAGCAGGGTCACAACTTTGAGCTTAGCCTTAGCAACTTAGCAAGACCCCATCCCAGATATTTTTTTAAACTTTTTTTTTTAAAGGGCTGTGAATGTAGCTTAGTACGAAAGTTCTGGGCTAAATCCTTACATTACAAAAATAAGATAGAACAATTCCACTGATTTTTAGAAACTTTTCACTTTTAATATCTGAAATTAGAATGTAATAGAATGTAATTTAGACCTGATAAAATAGTATTATAGATTGTCTCTGGTGCTATAACAAAATACCTTTAATAAAGTAATTCATGAAGAACGAAAGTTTTCCTTGTAGTTCTGGAGACTGGGAAGTCTGAGTTCAAGATCCTACAAATAGGAGGTCAGGTGAGGGCTGCTGTCTGCATCCAAGACAGTAATTTACTGCTACAACTTCTAGCGCAGCTCTGTGTTCATAGGGCAGAAGGGTTGAAAGGGACTGGAACGTAAAACCACTCCTTAAAGCCCTTTTTATGTTTTTATATGTGTCCTAATGCCCTCTGCAAGGGCTCTACCCTCACCAATTTATCACTTCCTATATGCCCACCCAACATTGTCACATTGAAGATTAAATTTCAACGTAGGAATTTGAAGCTCTAATATAGGCAACCAGCTGGAGACTCTCTCCTTACCTGTGGTGCCTCTTGAAGATGTTCTGTGAGTACTCCCAAGGGCTCTACGTGAACGATGGTAGACTACTGTTCCTTCCCTTCAAACCCAGGTGTCTCTTTTTTTCCCTGAAAGAACTGTAGCCTTCACTGCCACTAACCCAACAGTTTAGAGCCAAGTTGTTTCTTCTCTAACTTAAACTCATGGTTAAGTGTTATATTTAGAGGATATATTGAGATATCCTTTACCTTTAAACTTTCTAGCACATTTGAAGAGATTTTCAGATCATCAAAACAGATGATACACTACATATTTGAGAGGCAAAATGGCAAGAATGCAAAACAAACACATTTGTCTATTTCATTTTCCTGTCTTCAGTAGCAACTATATTCATGGTTAAAAGTTACCCAGGAGTTCTTGACTATTTCAGTGGGTAAGTTTATTAAAGTTGAATTTTGTTTAAAGTATTAACTTGGCTGAGCAAGGTGGCACATGCTTGTAATCCTAATATTTGGAAGGCTGAGGCAGGAGGATTGCTGCAAGTTCAAAGCCAGCCTGGGTTACATAGTGAATTCAGGACTAACCCAAACTACATAGCAAGACCCTGTCTCAAAAATAAATAAATAAATAAATAATTTAAAGCATAAAATGTTGTCTTTTACATATTTGTTAATTTATTATAATTCTGTTATTTTTCATTGTTAAGGGAGATTCCTCAAGTAAATACTTATAACTCTTCATAAGTTGACTTACAGAGAATAGTTAGAAAACATATATTCTAAGAAATTAGAGAATCTAAAAGAAATGGATAGCATAGTGTGGTGGTGCACACCTGTACTTCCAGTACTTTGTAGGCTGAGGCAGGAGGATTGCTGTAAGTTTGAGGCCAGCCTGGGCTATGTAGTTAGTTGGAGGCCAGACTGATCGCCAGAGTGAAACCTTGCCTCAAAAAGACAAAAAAAGAAGCAAAAATTTAAAAAAGAAAAAAAGATAAATTCTTAGGCACTTGAATTATCAGAATTGAACCAAAAAGAAACAAAAATTGCTGAACAAGGGACAGGAATATAGCTTAGTGGCACAGTGCCTTCCTGGCAAGCAGAAGGTTGTGAGTTCATTTTTTAGTACCAAAAAAGCAAAGAAAAAAACAAAAATCCCTGAACAAAATACAACAAAGCAATAAATTAGAGTCAGTAATAAAAACCCTACAAGCTAAAAAAAAGCTCCATGAATGCATCACTGAATTTTACCAAAAGTTAAGGGAAAAACTAACACCAGTACTCCATAAATTCTTCCATGAAACAGCCAAATGCATTCCTTAAAGCTAACTGACATTATTCTGATACCAAAACTGGACAAGAACTCGATAATAAAAGAAAACTATAGGCCAGTTTCCTTAATGAAAATAGATGCAAAAATCCTCAACGAGATAACTTGCAAACAGAATGCAGCAAATCATAGGGAACATCATGCATCCAGATTGAGTTGGCCTCATGTTAGAGATAGGAGAGTGGCTCAACATGTAATTCAGTAATTACACCACATAAACAGAAGTAAGGGTAAAAATACATAATCATTATGAAGGATGCAGAAAAAGCCTTTGGCAAATTCCACTATCCATTCATAATAAAAAAAAAAAAAAAACGGATGAAAATTGGTATAGAATGACCTTCCCTTAAACCGATTAAAAGCCTGATGACTAACCCATTGCCAACATCATATTAAATGGAGAAAAACTAAAAACATCCCCCCTAAAATTATGAACAAGTCAAAGGTTTCCATTCTCATCACTCCTATTCAAAATTTTGGTTAGAGCAATCAGGCAAGCTAAAGCAATAAATGCATACAAACAGGTAAAAAGAAGTCAAACTGTTTTTATTTGTAGATGAAGTGATTCTTTATATAAAAGATCCAAATGCCATCAGAAGACTCTTAGAACTAATATAAAAAATTAGAACTCTTAGAACTAATACACAAAATTTAGCAAAGTGGCAAGCTTAAAATAACACAAAGATCAGTAGTTCCTATACATTAACAATGAACTCACCAAGAAAGAAATCTGGGAGGGGGGAGGAGAAATGCCATCCATAGTAGCTCTACATAAGATTTAATATAGCCAAGGAAGTGAAAGACCTTTATAATAAAAACTGTAGTACCCTGAGAAAAAGTTTGAAGGGGACATTAGAAAATGGAAAGATATCCTGTTTGTCAGTAGACAGAAACAATATTGTCAGTGTAATCCCAGTTAAAATGCCAACAGCACTAGTGCTCCACAGAACTAATAAAAAAAAATCCTAAAATTTGCATAGTAACAGAAGAGGCCTAAAATAAAGTATCCAAAGTAGTCATGAACAACAGTAACATAGCAGAAGGCATTATAATGCTGGCCTTCATGTTATACTTTAAAACTACAAGGATAAAAATAGCAATGCAGGGGCTCGGGATTTAGCTCAGCGGCATAAACACCTGCCTTGTAAGCAGGCAGTCGTGAGTTCAATTCCCGGTACCGATAAAAAGGAAAAAGACAAAAAAAAAAAAAAAAATAGCAATGCACAAAAACAGACATGTTGACCAATGGAATATAACCCCAAACACGTTAAACTATGTGGTTTTTGACAAATAGATCGATAATATATGCTGATAAAAAGATAGCCTCTTTAACGAAGATTGTTGGGGAAACTGACTATCCCTATGCAGAAGAATGGATCTAGATCTTTCACTCTAGATCTAGATCTTTTACTAAAGTAAAATCGAAATGGCTCAAAGACCTAGTATGAAAAAATATATACACTGAATCTGCTACCAAAAAAACCCTGATAAAACTTTTTGAAAAGATAGGCATAGACAAATGCTTTCTGAACAGACCCTGAATTGTACAAGATATAATATCAAGAATCAGCCAGTGGGATTATATCAAATAAAAAGTCTTTTTAAACATCAAAGTAAACAATAGAATAAAGAAACAGCCTACCAACTGGGAAAATATTTTGCCAGCTACTACATTCTTGGACAAAGGACTAGTACAGAACTCAAGTAATTAGACCACCAAAAATAAAAGACCCAGGTGATAAACGAGCAACTAAAGTAAATACTTTGAAAAAGTACAAATGGCCATAAATACATGAAAAAATGTTCAGCATATTTGGCCATCAGAGTAATGAAAATCAAAACAACACTTAGATTCCATCTTCCTTCACTAAGAGTGGCTGTTATCAAGGGCTCAAAAAGAGTGCTGTGAAGGTTGTGGGGGAAAAGGAATCCTTGTTCATTGTTAGTAGGAATGTAAACTGGTACAACCACTGTGGAAGTTAGTGTGGAAATTCTTCAAAAATCTAAAAATAGAAATTTCATTTGACAAAGCTGTCTCTTCTGAATGTCATCCTCAAAACATTGAAGGCATATTACACTGATACATACATACTTATTATATAGCAGCACAATTTATAATAGCTACATTATAGAAATAACCTTTATACCCATCAACAGAGGAAGAGATAAAGAAAACGTAGCATACATACACGATGGAGTCCTCTTTGGCCATAATGAATACATTTGAGTTATTTAGGAAGATACATGGATCTTGAAACCATCATGCTAACTGCAATAAATCGGAGACGGTAATATCCATGGCTTCTCTAACATAAGAAATCCAAAATGTAAATAATTTCTGAAATGAAAGAGAGATGGTAAGGAAACTCAGAGGTAGATTCTGTGGAGATGTGAAGGGGCTCTGGGAAAAGAAGGAGAGGAAAAAAGGAGAGTAAAAGTGATTAAGAGACAATAAATATACATACCAATTCCCCAAGATGCATGTTGTTATTATATATCATAAACATATACTAATAAAAAGAGAGCTATGTAATAAAGGAAAAAAGTTGGCTCATTACATAATTGTTATTCTGTATTATGACTCATTTTTCTGCCAAAAAGTCACAAGAATTTTAACAGAGTATTGTCGGTAAGACTTACCGATCATTTTCCTTTTTAGTGCTGGAATTGGAAGAACTGGTGTTCTTATTACAATGGAAACAGCCATGTGTCTCATTGAATGCAATCAGCCAGTTTATCCACTAGACATTGTAAGAACTATGAGAGATCAACGAGCCATGATGATCCAAACACCTGTAAGTACTATATTTCACATACTCATGTGTGTGCTCAGCATGATGGCTTTTATTATCAGTGTATATTCTAAATCATATTGTTATCATTTAAATTCCTTACCAGGAGCTAATAACCCAAGCACAGGGGTGAACAAACTTTTATTTATGAGCCAGTCTGATAATAGTAAATAACATATAAATCTGAATTGTAAATAAAGCTGTAGTGGAACCCAGGCATGTTCATTTATGTAATATCTTTGGCTGCTTTCATACTACCAAAGCAGATGAAAAAGTTGTAACAGATACTATACTGTAATGGCTTGCAATTTCTAAAATAAATAATATCTAACCTTTTACAGAAACAGTTTTGCCAGTGTGTGAGTGGTGTTGCATGTTAAATCTCGAGTGTTAAAACCGATGCAAAGGAACTTGCCTTGTATTACTTAGTCAAGTAGAATGTTCAACTAGAGAATCTTAATGGGCCTGTTTTCAGTCAAATAGCTGTGATGAAATCCCTTTTCAGTTTTACACCAGAGCTTAAATTGAAACAGCAAAAACAAAACCTGGAAATTAAGCTATTTATTATATTTTCACTGATTCTTAATGATGCTCCAGGAATCAAAAGAGAAATCATAGAATTTTAGAGTTAGTGTTAAGGTTATTTTTTTGGATTAAATCACTGTGAAAAGTTAGATTGTTAGAGGAAGTTAGATTACTTGAAACAGAATAACAAATGTTTTAATAACCGCCTGCCATCTTTTTTCTGTAATTATAGAAATTTTCAAATATACTACAAAAGCAGGCAGTATAATGTAATTAATAACTTGTTTAGTACTTACTTTTTTCATATTTCTTTTTTCATATTTGGAGAAAATCTTAGGTATCATACCATTTTGTCCATGAATATTTTATTTTTTTCTTTTTGAAAAAATTTAAAGAAAGAAACAAGAGGAAACTAAAAAAACAAAATAGAAAAAACAAGAAAAAAGTAGAATACAGGATTCAAAAAAATTAACATCCTAAAATTGCTACTTGATAGATTACATATTGTCATCTTAACAATAATTGTTAAAGTTAAAGAATCAAAGCATAAAAAGTGGCTAAGCCCTCAAACATTGACAGTGCACTCTCTTCTGTTTAATGATCTAATAGAAATTTAGTAATATGGTCATCTATCTTACATACTATACATACCGTTATATCCTTTAGAGCACTTTCCTTCCCTTTCACTTTTACAATATCTGTTATACTTTTTGGATCCCATTATTCTGTCAGTTCTTATTATTTTTTATACTAGAGAGACAATGTGATGTTTACTAATGTCAGTCTTGTTTATTTCACTAATGATGTTCTCAAGTTGCCTCCATTTACCTATAAAGGCCTCAAGATCATCCTTTCTTATAGCTAAATAGTATTGCATTGTATAAAAATACCACATTTTTTTCATCCACTCTGCGGTTGATGGGCATTTTGGTTGTTTCCAAGATTTAGCTATCACAAATTGTGCTGCTGTAAACATAGGTGCATATATATCACTGTGACATGACTTTTTCAATTTTTCTGGGAAAATACCCAGGAGAGGAATAGCTGGATTGAATGGAGCTTCCTCCAATCCTAGTTTTTTGAGGAATCTCCATACTGATTTCCATAGTGGTTGCACCAGTCTGCACTTCCACCAACAGTGGAGCTGTGTTCCTTTTTCCCTGAAGCTTCCCCAACATTTGTTATCAGTTGATTTCTTGATGGCAGCCATTCTTTCCAGAGTGAGATGAAATCTCAGTGCTGTTTTAATTTGCATTTCTCAAATGACCAGTAATGGTGAACGAATCTTCATATATTTATTTGCCATTTGTCTATCTTCATCTGAGAAGTGTGTGTTCATCTCTGATGCCCATTTTTGGAGGGGATCTTTGAATTTGGGGGGCTTGATGTTTTTCAGTTCTTTACATGTTCTGGATATAAGTCCTTTGAAGTATTGTTGGCTAAAGTTCTTTCCTATTCTGTGGGTTTTCTTTTCATTTTGTTGGTGACTTCTTTTGAAGTGCAAAAACTTTTTAGTAATATGAGATCCCAGTTCTTTGAAGTATTTCCCGTGCAGTTTGCATTTTGTTCATGAATTCTTTGCCTACCCCAATGTCTCCAAGATTTCTACCTACCTTGTTTTCCAGTAGATTTAGTATTTCTGTTTTAATATTTAGATCCTTGATCCATTTTGACTTTTGTTTAGTGTATGGTGATAGGCATGGGTCTATTTTTAGTCTTCTGCATGTGGAAAGCCAATTTTTCCAACACCATGTATTAATGAGGCTATCTTTTTTCCAGTGAGCTTGTTTAGCCCTTTGTCAAATATAAGGTGGCTAAGTATCTTTGTAGTTGTGTTTGCATCTTCTAATCTGTTCCATTGATCCTCAGGTCTATTTCTTTGCCAGTACCATGCTGATTTTATCACTGTGGCTTTGTAGTATAGTTTCAAATCAGAAATTGAGATGCCGTCTATCTTGCCTTTGTTGTCCAGAATCGCCTTTGCTATTCTAGGTTTCTTCTGTTTCCAGAAGAATTTTAGAAATATTTTCTCTATATCTATAAGGTATGTTAATGGTATTTTGATAGGGATTGCATTGAATTTGTATAACAGTTTTGGAAATATGGCCATTTTCACAGTGTTGGTTTTTCCCAGCCAAGAGCAAGATATATCCTTCCATTTTCTAGTATCCTCTTCAGTCTCCTTTTTTAGAGTATTATAATTTTCAGCATATAGGACTTTTACATTCTTGGTTAGGTTGATGCCTAGATATTTCATTTTTTTAGATGCTATTGTCAAAGGCAATATTTCCATAATTTCTATCTCGGTGAGGTTTTTGTTTGTGTACAGGCATGCTATTGATTTTTGAGTGCTGATTTTGTATCCAGCTATGCTGCTGAATATGTTTATTACCTCTAGAGTCTTTTAATGGAGTTTTTTGAGTCTTCTATGTAGAGTATCATGTCACGTACAAATAATGGTAATTTTACTTCTTGATTTCCTATTTTTATTCCTTTTATTTCTCCCTCTTGTCTGATTGCTCTGGCTAGTATTACCAGAACTATATTGAATAGGAGTGGTAATAGTGGACATCCTTGTCTTGTTCCTGATTTTAGAATGAAGGCTTTCAGTTTTTGTCCATTTAATATAATGTTGGTTGTTGGTTTGTCATAGATGGCCTTTATGAGATTTAGGTACATACCATCTATTCTGAGTTTCTATAGGGTCTTTATCATGAAAAGATATTGGACTTTATTAAAAGCTTTTTCTGCGTCTATTGAGATGATCATGTGATTTTTATTTTTGGCTCTGTTGATGTGATGTATTACATTTATTGATTTGCATATGTTGCATTCCTGGAATAAATCCCACTTTGGTCATGGTGTATAATCTTCTTGATGATCTGCTGCATTCTATTTGCCAACATTTTATTGAGAATCTTTGCATCAATGTTCAACAGTGAGATTGGTCTATAATTCTTTTCGGTTGCATCTTTCTCTGGTTTTGGTTTCAGAGTAATACTTGCCTCCAAGAATGAGTTAAGGAGGACTGCTTTTCTTTCAGTTTCATTGAAGAGTTTAAGGAATATTGGCATTAAATTGTCTCTAAGTTTCTTATAGAACTCAGCTGTGAATCCATCAGGACCTGGGCTTTTCTTTGTTGGTAAGTTTTTAATCACATTTTTTATTTCAGTAGCTGATACTGGGTTATTCAAAATTGCTATATCTTCTTGACTGAGCTTTGGTAGTTCATGTGTTCCTAAAAATCTGTCCATTTCCTCTGTGTTTTCCACCCTATGTGAGAAGAGATTTTGAAAGGAGGTGTTCATGATTTTTTGAGTTTCCATGGGATCAGTGGTAATTTCCTTCTTTTCAGCCCTTATTACATGGATTTGAGTTTTTTCTGTCTTTTTCTTGATAAGGTTGGCCAGGGGTTTATCAATTTTGTTTATTCTCTCAGAAAACCAGCTCTTTGATTAATTATTCTTTGTACTATTTTTTCAGTGTCAATTGCATTAATTTATGCTCTAATCTTTACAGTTTCTTCTCTTCTATGAGCTTTGGGTTTGACTTGCTCTTCCTTTTCTTGAAGCTTGAGATGTAGCTTTAGGTTATTTATTTGTGTTCATTCCATCCATTTTCTTGATGTGACTATTTATTGCTATGTATTTCCCTCTTAGAACTGCTTTCATTGCATCCCATAGGTTACAGTGTGTTCTATCTGCATTTTAATTGTATTGTAAGTATTGTTTTATTTCTTCTTTAATTTCATCTGTAACCCACTGGTTGTTCTAAAGGTTGTTATTTAATTTCCATGTATTTATGCAGGTTTTGCAGGGGTTTTTTTGCCATTGATTTCCAATTTTAGTGTGCTATGATCAGATATTATGCATGGGATAATTTTGCTCCCTTCGCATTTAGTTAAGAATGCTTTATGGGTTAACATATGGTCTATTTTGGAGAATGTCCCATGTGCAGCTGAGAAGAATGTATATTCTGATGTTGGGTGCAATACTCTGTAAACATTTACTAAGTCCATTCACTCACAGGTATGATTCAGTTCTGTTATTTCTTTGCTGACTTTTTGTCTAGTTGATCTCTCTTTGTGTGTTAAGATCTCCTATTACAATTGTGTTCTTGTGTATTTGGTTTTTCATGTCCATTAGTATTTGTCTTATATAGTTGGGTGCTCCTGTGTTCAGTGCATATATATTTATAATTATTAGTTTTTCCTCTTGTAGTTTTCCACTTACAGATATGTAGTGGCCTATCTCTTAATCCTTTTAAGTTTGAAGTTCACTTTGTCTGCAAACAGAATAGCTACTCCTGCTTTTTTCAGGGTTCCTGTTGCATAGAATACTGTTTTCCACCCTTTGACTTTTATCTGTGAGTTTGTTTTTGGATCAGATGTGTTTCTTGTATACAGCATATTGGGGTCCTGTTTCTTGATCCATTCTGTCAACCTGTTTCTTTTGATAGGTGAATTGAGCCCATTTACATTTATGGATATCACTGATATATACTGGCTTGAGTTTGCCATGTTATGTTCCTATTGTTGGTTTCTTGCTTTTGTCCCTTGTTTAATTTCTTGTCCAGCATGATGGTTTCTTTCTGTTGTTGGTCTGGAGGCTGTGGTCATTTTATCTCTATCTAGCATGTCTTTCAATACTCTTTCTAGGGTTGGTTTGGTGCATATGAATTCCTTCAGTTGTTCTTTGTCATGGAAGTACCTTGTTTCTCCATTAAATTTGAAAGACAGTTTTGCTGGGTACATCAGTCTGGGTTGAAAGCTGTTTTCTTTTAGAGCTTGAAATACTTCACTCTAAGCTTGTCTTAACTTGAAGGTTTGGCCTAAAAAGTCTGCTTTCCTTGATAGGTGAGTTGTGTCTTTTCTCTAATGGCTTTTAGTATTCTATTTTTATGCTGTATGTCTGGGATCTTAATTATTATATGTCTGGGTGTAGATTTATGTTGGTTGTGACTGTTTGGCATTCTGTATGCCTCACTTATATGTATATCAGATTTTTCCCCATGCTTGGGAAATTTTCTTTTACTTCTGTGAATATTTTAGTTATGTCATTTGCACTGATTCTTGCATCTTCACTGATGCCTGTTAGTCTTATATTGTTTCTCATGGAATTGTCTTGAAGCTGCTGGATTGTAATTTCATGCTGCTTTGTTTTTGTAAGTTCTACCCTTTCATGATTGCTATCTGCGATCCTGTCTTTAAGGTCTGAAATTTTATCCTCAGCTTCATTTAAATGGTTTTGCCAGCCTGCAGTAGAATTTTTTGTTTCTTGGATGTCTCTTTGCATTTGTTTCATGGATTCTGCTTGTTTTCTGCATTGTTCATTCAAAGTTTTAATCAATTTCCCGTGCTCCTGTATTTTTTAATCTATTTCTTCTCTAGCATGTTGAGCAACTTATTTGCTAAGGTTGTTATTTCTGTCTTTACATAAGACATTATTTCTAATTTGATTTCCTCTATAGCCTCATGGATTTGTTTGTTTACTTCATTTGCTATCTTTTCAGAGATTCCTGGTGTATTACTTTTAGAATCCTCTATTTCAGTGTTGCTTGTACTTGCTCCTGATGGACTAGATGTTTGAGATTGCATTTTGCCTTTTCATTTTGTCATTTTCACCTTTTGAGTAAATATTTGGTCTTTTAATCCCAACAATCTCAATTGCCCATAGTATAAATCTTAGAGTCCTACTGTGTGGTTGATGTTTGACCAATTGCTGGGTACCACAATGAAGAAGAGAGCTAGTCACCTGAATTCCTCCTACAGGGCCTGTTGGGTGAGTCCTATATTCTTTCTGTGCTGACTAGCCTATAAGTCTTTGTAGGTTAACTCTTAGTTCCTGCTGTTGCTATGTTTTCAGGTAGTTGCAGGTCACCACATCTGTCTATAGTGTTTGTGTCAGCTGAGGGCCTACTGTGTCACTGGAGGTCTCATAATCTCTTCATTTTCTCCAAGTTGGTGGAGGCCTGATTGGCACACTCCTCAACCTGTCTGATTTTTCTCTGTGTGGAAGAGGGAATTACCCACTGTCTTGCCAGGCTCATCAAAGTCTTAACAGTTAGAGGGAGTTTTATTTCTGCACCTATTTACCCACTGTAGACCTCTATTTTAGGGGCAAACTTACCACACTGCCTGGAGCCTGCTGAGATCTTCTGTTTGGGTGAGGGGTTCCTGAGTCTCCCATCCAGCCAGCATGGTAATTCACTGTAGTCCAAGGTTCTGGGAGAAGGGATTGGATCCAAAGGTCAACTGCAGTACTAGGTCTAGGAGGTGGGAGGGTTTCCCAAGTTGAGGGGTGGGGAGGGGCAAGCGGGTACAGTCTGAGGCAGCTAGGTTGTGCTGAGGTATCCCAGCAGAGGGGCAGGCCCAGTGGCTGCAGTGGAGGCAGCTAGGTCGTCCTGGGGTGTCCCAGGTGTTCACTGGCCCAGCAGTGCCAGTCCTAAGCAACCCAGGCCTGCTGGGGTGGCCCATGTGTTCATGGCCTAGGGGTGGGCCCATGGCTACAGTCCCAGTGGCTAGGTCCTGCGGTGGTGGCCCAGAGGGGTCACCACGCAGAGGGGCATCTCCCTGAATATTTTAGTGTGTATCTCTATAAGGGTTGTTCTTTAAAACAACAAAATACCACTGTCATACTTAAATGAAATAAACAATAATTTTTAAAATAATCAAGTAGTCAATATTCAAATTTTCTGTTGTTTAATATAAATCTTTTTTTTTAGAACAGTTGTTCACAACTCACAAAAAATTTAACCCCTTTAGAGCCTTCCTTTTGGTAGTATATCACAGAAGTTTGTAACTATCACTATATCTAATTCTAAAATATTTTCATCACCCCACAAAAATAGTTCCACCACATATTAATAGTTATTCCCATTTGCTCCACACCTTCCTCAATGTCCAACTAACCTGCAGCCTAGGCAAAAACTAATCTCTGTCTCAATTGGTTTGCATATCAAAACAAAACAGTAAAAGTGATATAAGATTTCAAAACAAGATAATAGGAAATCAATAATGATTACCATAATGCCTCTTGTTATCTTCAAAATAACTGTCCATACTATTGGACATAATAAAATCAAACAGCAGAGCAGAATAAATCAAAATAGAACACTGAATAAAAACAAAATGGACAAAACAAAATTAAGAACAATACTGGATTTCAAAAACAGGACAGAAGGAAATCTCCCATGTTTGCTATATTGCATATTGTTACCCTCTTAGTAAATGCTTAGACTATTAGCCTTTGGCCTGCAAAGTCAGTCAAACAATATAAATATTAGGTTGTTTTGATACGTCAGTTGCTATCAACTCAGCCTATCCTCCAAATCAGCCAGTTGCTTATGGTGGTGGTGGTGGGGTGTTCTTGTTTACCAGCCCACATGCCAGTTAGCTCTCAGGAAGGGCAAGTTGGCTTGTTTTTGCTCCTGGCCCGAAATGGTTTGTCCCAGCTCATGGAAAGGGCGAATTGGCAGCTCATTACTCCTCACAGGCCCAGCATGGCTTCCACTGACTCATAGGAAAGGCAAATTGGCTTGCATCTCCTCTTGGGCCTTGCATGGTTTGCACCCAGTTTTGTTTTTTTTTTTTTTCTTTTTAATTGTGGTATACACATATCATAAATTTTTTTGCATTTTTTGTTATTGTGGTGGTGGTTGTTTTTTTGTTTTTGACTTTAGCAGTTGTAGATAGAACCAAAGGCCTCATGAATACTGTATAAGCATAGTACCACTGTGGTATGTCCTCAGCTTTTCTAAAAATATTCAGTTTCCAGAGCTAGGAAAATATATTTAGGATAAGTTAATGCTGATTCTATGGTTTTCCTTAACACCTCTGGTATTTTTATTGCCTCTCTCCAATACTAATAATGAAAGACTTAAAATAACACAAATACTCTGTTGTTTTCTTTCAAATTGCACACCAGTGGTTTCAAAAGTACATTAACAGGATAGCAATGTGACTATTGAAGATAGATTTTAATTTTTACTTCTTTTTTACCGGTAGATATATCCTACAAAAGATAGTGTCATAAAGTCCCTTGGAGAATCCCCTTTATGTAGCTATGCATCAACTAGATAAGCGCTTTGATTTATTTTTCTAGGGATTTTTAAAATTAATTTTAGAAGTAATAAAAAATATAAAGATGCAAAATAATATATTTACATAGTTCTAAACTAAAACCTATAAATTGAGGAAAGTATGTTTAATGATGTTCAGCCTCCTGCTCCCTCTTCCCTCCATGTCTTTATAAGAAACCATTTTTTAAACTATTTATCCTTCACTGGCTTGCTCCCTTGCTTGCTCACTTTTTTTCTTTGTTTTTAAGGAAGGAAACATGCTGAACAGGGAGTGGTGGCACACACCTATAATCTCAGCATTCTGGGAGGCTGAGGCAAGAGGTTCATATTCCAAGCCCAGTTTAGACAGCTTAGCAAGGAACTGTCTTAAAATAAAAAGGGGTGGGGAAGTAGGTTGTACATACTTTACATTCCTTGATTTTTTGTTTTTTTTTTTTTAGTTAACAAAATATTCTAGAATCACTCTATAGTAGTCTGTACAGAGACCTTCTTATTCCGTTTTCACTAAGATAGTATTCCATCATGAAGATACAGATTATTTACCAAAGCCTTACTGATAACAGTTTGAACTGTTCGTAGCTTTTCTGTTGCTAATAATTAAGTAGCCTCTTTTGTGAATATGTTTTCAATTTGTTTTTCTAGTTTATCTTTTGAATATGTTCCTACAAGTGGAATGGCTGTCAAAAAGTAGTAATATATTTTTGCTAAATGTTGTCAAGTTCCTCTTCATAGAGTTTGCAATATTTTACCATCCTTACCAGTAATGTATAATGAATTGTGCTAATAAAATGTTGTTGTGCTTTTATTTTTGCCCATCTTTTGGTAAAAAATGATACCTTGATGCTAACTCTACATTTCCTTTTTAAGTAAGTCAAGTGCCAACTAAAATGTTTGTCTTTTTTTTTTTTTGATGTTCTTATGTTTCTGATCAATTCTGTGTTTTATATTTTATTTTTCAGAGTCAATACAGATTTGTATGTGAAGCTATTTTGAAAGTTTATGAAGAAGGCTTTGTTAAACCCTTAACACCATCATCAAATAAATAAGAAAACAAAAGTTCTGGAATATGTGTTGGAAAACTGCTTTTCATTATATTCACTGTGCCATGACACTGCTCACAGGAAGTGGCATCTCATTAAAAAAAAAAAAAAAATGAAGAACTCACAAAAACTTTGAAAACTTCAGCACTGTTGCACTTTATGTTAAAAATGTCATTCTTTCAAAATTTATAATTCATCTGTTTGAAGACTTATTTCATGCTTTGCTCCGAACAAATAGTGAATAACTGAGTATGTTCAGGGTAATTTATGAAATTTTGTGGTGGTGCCATGCAGTTCCCTTCTGGTAAAATTGCTACAAACAAGGCTCAGAATTCTCATCTCTGGTGTACACCTGTGTCTTGAAAGCAAAAAGAAGTAAACATCGCCAGTCAGCTCTGGTCTTTTTCGGTGTTTTATGTACTTTACTGATTATCAGATTTTATTTTTTAAAATGTTAGCAATATCATTCTCAATATTAGCCAATACACTGCCTACGGATGCAGCACATCTTCCCCTATACCCCCACCTTTGTAGAGACCTGCTGTTCAAAAGAAGAAAGGTGGAATTCGTTATTCCCAGGAAATGCTGCACATTGTCCATTTACCAGCATCTTATAGAAAGCATAAATAGGAATCTACAAATTTTCTTGGATTCAATAATATAACTTATATTTATCTTAAGGTTGGCTTATTCCACATCATGTGATTTCACATACTTGATGTAAAGGAATGCATGCATTGTGTCTTAACCCCTTAAGTGCCTTGAGCTCACATTATCTAATGAAAAGGCACTCATTTGACCCCAATAGGAGGTGTGTATGTATATTGTACATTCTGGCATTTTTATGCATTTTAAGTAAGTTCACTTTTTTTAAAAAAAAGCTTCTTAATATTGAGAGTTAGGCAGTGAAAGAAGGGTAAAGAAATTTCATTTCTTACTAAATACTTATATTTTGCCATAAGAAGCAAAGTTAAATTGTATTCTACTGAGTGCATGCCCTGCTGCTATGGAATTATTAAAAAATCTACACATTCCTTATTGAGGGACAAGGATTACAGTTTAGCAGCTCAACTTATTCTTCAACTCTCATATTTATTTTATCCCTGAATTTAGAAATGGTGTCTAATATCTATGTAAAAGATACACATATTGATATTCTAAGCTAAAGTTAGAGGACAATTAAGTAGTTGTGATTTATTCCTATATAAAATATTTTTCTTTAGCACTAATTTCAGTCAATGCCAAGTTTTCTCTGCACTGGTCTTTCATTGGATTTCCTCAAACACTTAAATATTATTGATTGATTTCTAAATCAAATCAGTAATTAAAATGAGGGTTTCTCATTATTTTGTATACATTTAAATTAGCTTATCTATATTTTTTAAGTTATAAGCGTGTTGGTAAAGAGACTTTTGATTGTCTAGCTTGTTTGAGGATCTGATTTCCATCAAAGATGTGTATATTTTTGACAGATTTTTCTGTTTTTAAGTCCAGTGAGATAAAACTTTAAACTGCTCGGTTTAATATAAGTGAACATTTACTCACCTACTCAATCATTATTTTACATAATTATTGGATTTTTGTTTTGGATTTTGTTGTTGATTTGGTTTGGTTTGGTTTGGTTTGGGTTTTTTGAGACAGGGTAGTCTCCCTATGTAGTTCAGGCTGGTCTTGAACTTGTGGCAGTCGTCCTGGTCTTGAACTTGTGGCAGCCTCCAACTGCTGGGATTATAGGCATGCCATAACTGTGTTCTTATATAATTGTTTTATATGGGTATAGTTAAAATTGATTAATTTCTAGTGGTATCTGAATATTTCCATACCATATAGTTTATAGAGTCCAATGGTAAGTATTTTAGAATGCTTTTTAGTATGAGAGGAAAAAATGTACATTTAAAATCCTCAGTAAAACCTTTTATAAAGTCCATAATAATAAATTCTAGAAAATTAAGCTCCTAACATTAATAGCCAAGATACCAAATAAATTGTCATATTAAAATATTTTCTTTTTTAAAAGAAAGAAGTAAACTTAACCTTTATGTTAAAGAGAAATTCTCTTACATATTTCCTGATTTCACACTCAAGACTATAAAATAGTTAATAAGTATAGTCTTACTTTAACATTCCATTCTCTTCCAACAGATAATGTGTAATTTAGGCTGTGTGACATTATGATAAGTTGAAAACTGAGAAAGAAAAATCATGTTCAGGGTCTGAATATTAAATTACGGTTTTGGCATTTGGTTTTCCCTGAATTAAAAAAATAAAATCTGGAGCTGGGGATTTAGCTCAGTGGCATAAGCACCTGCCTTGCAAGTGTGCGATCGTGAGTTCGATCCCTGGTACAAATAAAAATGAAAAAGACAAAAAAAACCCACCTTAAAAAAAAATAAAATCTGTCAGTTTTAACTGTACGTGCAGAATATGACACCATAAGTAAAAAGATACCTGGCCAGGTGTAGTGGCAGCATGCCTGTAATTCCAGCACTTAAGAGGCTGAGGCAGGAGGATTCCTGTAGATTTGAGGCCAATTGGGGCTACAGAGTGAGCTCAAGGCCAGCCTGAACTACACAGCAAGACCAAAAAAAGAAAGAAAGAAAGAAGGAAAAAATTAAAAGGTACCAGTTGTGTAAATATAAACGAACTACTGTTTTTAATTTAGGGTTTTGTTTACACTTATGCAGTTGACTGTAATTGTTGGCAATGAGTGCTGCTGCCTTTTTAATCATTAATGTCTATCTTTAAATGACAATGTATTTGAAATGTGGAATTATATTCAAATTTCTCATATATGAATTTTTAATCTGGGAAGTACCCTCTATCAGTATTTTCATGTATAGATAAAAGATTCTTTTATAAAGGCATATTTATTGAAATCTCACTTAAAATGATTTATCCTTTACATCTTCTTAAAATGAATATTCTGATTAAGCTGCTGTTTACCAAACAGAAAAAATTTTATCCATTAAGCAAGGATTTTTAACTTGTTTATTAATCTAAAGAGGTTTCTAAAAATAATGGTAGCTTTCATACATCAAGTACTAGACTCCATCCACAATGTAAGACATGATACAATGCCAAATTTCCTATGTAAGCTGTTCCCCCAACTCCTCTAGCCACAGCTGCCCCCACGCATCTGTGTTCTCAGAATGGAAATCATGAATTGGGGCTTTTGTAAATGCTCAGAAGTGTTAGTGAAAAACTACTTCCCTCTCTGATTTAGGGTGGTTTTTCTATGTTCATTTCAAACCTTTTATTAAGTATTTGGTTTGTTGTCAGCACTGTGTACATAGGATGAGGAATATTTTGGAATTGGATTCACATTCTCAAGAACTAGTTATTTATATATATATATATATATATTTTTTTTTTTTTGGTCTTTTTCATTTTTATCGGTACCAGGGATCGAACTCACAACTGCCTGCTTGCAAGGCAGGTGCTTATGCCACTGAGCTAAATCCCCAGCCCCAAGAACTAGTTATATTTGTTAAACTAGTACATCCATTTCAAATCGAAGCAGAGTAACAGCCTAAGAAATTTTCCTTTATATAGCCTGCTAGGACAAGTAAGAAGGTAAAAGTTTTCTAACTATTAGTCTAGTTCTCTTTATTATACAAGAACTTCAGTAAATTGTAAGCTATGTGAATATCAGATTCTTACAAATTAAGTTTTTGAACTTGAGAAGTTGCTCAGGCAGTGTTTTCATTTTATGACAATCTTAAGAGATGTCACGTAAGTTAGAAAATAAGTAGGCCTCCAAAATGTTTAATTTGGTTTGCTATTTATGCTTCCCTAACAGAGGACATAAGCTTTTATTAAGTATTTAGGCTGATACATGTGCTGTGGGAAAACACTCTGAACTGTAAGTGAAGACTTAATTTTTAAAAGCACTTAAAACATAGAACTAAGATTTAGAACATATATCCTCTTATAATGAAATAATTTATGCTCATAATGTGAACATGTAATAGAATTAAAGCATTACTTATTTTATAATATTACCAGGAACGGAGAGGAAACACGAATTTATAACAATGTGCTATTTAATGTCTATTTTGAATATTTTAAATATTCTGATGGTAAGTTTGCCAAAGTAGTTTGAATTTGTAAAAATTATTTATACCACAATAATGTGGAATGTGTTTACAGATTCTTTATTTTGTAGCAGTTATTTTATAGTTCAGGTTAATTTAAATTTAAGTCTTATAGTAAATACATTATGGTATATATTTGTTGAGATAAACACCTCAGTAACATGATAAGACATACATACGTGATGCCACAGCCTGCTTTTCTATAAGCTGCCACATCAATAAAGTAAATACTTTGTTTTAATACTGATTACTTCCCACATTTGTTTCAGCTTGCCACAATTCCTGGACCTATTTGTGGCTTCCTCCAAGTGAAATAGCTGTTATTTTAATGCATACAATTAATATAACGTGCTGGAATTAGTCATCTGTTGACGGGTATTTATTGGTGTCACAATGTGATCACTATACAAATTGTTAGCAACTACTTTATGAAATAGAGAATTGTGTAGATTCAAAGGAATTTATATAATCCTAAAATATTTTTGAGAGCTAATTGCTAATAGATAATTTCATCAGTTTTAACAGCCCAAGAAATTAATCACTAAATTGTATGCTTTGGGTTCTTCATCATATTTAAAAGTATTATCAACATAAGTTTTATTTATAGAGACTTCATTTATTCTCAATAGCAACTATAATGTCTTTTAATGTTATTAGAAAAAAAACAGCAACCCCTGTTATTACCAAAAATTAGGCACATTATTTTCAGAGTTTTGGTAAATTTGTTTTAGGTAAATACCAAAAGGTTATTTATGTTTCCATGTATACCTTTGCTGCTATATTATTTGTATGTTTTTCTACTGCAGTATACTGTTCGTTCTGAAGTTTTTTGGTCATTCAAGCTAAGTGGGCAGCTAGAAATACATGTGCTGGAGTAGAGTCCAGCAGCACTGGTTAGACATGATTCAATGCATATAAGTATCTGCTCCTTAATGAAAGTTATTAGCAGTATTGTGAATTAAATACTGCAGTTTTAAGGAACAGTTCAAAGATTTAACTTCTTGAAACCTTTTAAAATTTGCAGTATAAGAATGAAAATGTTTGAAAGCCTTGTTAAGTTCATAAAAGTTTCAGTTGAACACTGTGGAGTTTTCCTATCTATTATTCTGTAAATGATAAAGTATTTTTCTATGGACAAAAGGTTGAAACTGTCAACTTCTTTAATTTCACTGTTTAAAGGGATAAAATGATATTTGTATGTTTTTCATGCTGTAAAGAAAATGAATGTATCTTCTAAATGTTAGAATTATGACTTGATTTTAAAGATACTCTTACTGATTGAAAAAAGTCTACAAAGCATGGAAAAAATTTATTACATGGTATTCAAAATGCAATTTTAGAAAAGTAATGTTCATATAAACAAAATCTTACTGAAGTATTCATTTCAAGTATAATGTACATTCTTTTTCATATTGTTTTGCTTTGGCTCAAGATTAGAAGTTTTCCAGAAAATGTGCACATACTGTTTTTAACTGTAAAATATTTGAATTCTAGACTTCTAAGATGTAGAAGAGTGTTGAGGGTAAACATGCTGCTGTTATGTATCTACTATGGAGGAAAGTTCCCAAGCTTTGCCACTGTGGCAGCATTGTTGTAAGAATCTGATTTTGCTGAAACCAGAAAACTGTGCTTAAGATTCACTACAGTAATGTATGCAGAAGCCCTTGACCTGATAAATGATTTTGCTGTTTTATTACCATGTCATAGACATAAGACCACTGGGCCCAACCCAGACTTGTAGCAGCTGTTTGTTTTTTTTTTTTTTTATGTTTAAGAATTTATTAATTCAACAACAACAAGATCCCTTCATTTTAAACTAACCTCTAAGGCATGATAGAATTGTTTAATAGTTCTTTTAAAAGGTAGTAGTATTTAGTAAATCATTCAACTTTATTCAATTTGAAGTTCATTATGTAGTCTCCTACATCCAACCCTCCCAAGTTTTTCAGTATCACTAATTTAACTCTTAAATGAAATAAATACCATGAACAACTGAACAGTATCTTTAACTTTTGCTACAATTAATAAATGTGATGCCAGATTTCCTTCAACCGTTGAAATCTGCAAAATTTAAGCATACAATTATTACTAGGAAGCCAATAAGAAGGAGATAGCCCTGCTCGTAAGCCCAAACAGTTGATTTGTAGTTTGTTCTTGCCCACTGTAGCAAAAATTGGGCCTGTTTTAAATTTTTTATTAAATGAATCATTTTGGTTTCTACTCTCAAGTTTTAGTATTCCAGTTACTTTCCAGGACAAGAAAATTTCAAGCCTGTTTAGTGATTCCTTGGTACCCATCTTTTTCCATCCTTCAGTGAGTTGGCAAGATGATCTGATTCTTTAATTCTGTAACATAGCTCTCTCAGTGCTAAAACTGATTTCTTAAATTTCAAATAGTGGCACTTTATTTCTTGCTCACTACTGACTTAATTTATACATTTAAAAATACGAGTTTTGTAAATACAAAACAAATTTCATTGATTAGTATTAGAGCTCACTAGATTGGACCCAAGAGTAAATGCTTTTCAAAGATCTCTTCATAGCTTATTTGATAATTAACAGGTAACTTGTATGATTTTAGCTTTGCCACCTTTCTGTAACTTACACAGTACAATAAAGGCTACCCAGTTGAACGCGTTGCTGGACTCTTGAGTTGTCTCAGCTAGTTTCAACCAAGTTTGGTTTACTATAACCATTTCTGCTTTGCATTTTGTGTATGTTAAGTGAATCCTGGAAACCTGTTTTCATTGTAATACCTAGGAGTTACGTAGATACATCATCACAAATAAGTTTGAGGGGACAGAAGTACTGACAGTTTATATATGTAAGAAAGGGCAGGATTTAAGAGGCTAAAACAGTTTACATTAAGCTGTTTTCATTTTCTGCCAGTAAACTATACCATATATCCTTTAAAAAATAAAACTGCCCAACCCAATGTTCTCTAGCATCAGGACATTACAGTTATGATGTATGTTGTAATCTTTTCAAATCAGAAAAGCTAGTCATTTTCTACAGTGTAGGTTTACTTTTAGGACTGATAGTTTATTATGTGCTCATATTTTTAAACAGGAATTTTGAAAATAATTATTTCTATGTACAGGATATTTTAATTTGAAATTATTTTCTTGTAACAGGTGCTATATGTAAATATGAAAGGGGAAACTTGCTTAGTTAAAAGTCTAGTTTACTTTCTAATTAAAATATAATTTTACATTTCTGTTACCATTAGATGTTTGTACTAAGCTAGTAGCAAGATGGAATTAGTCTTTTAATTTTTTTAGACTACCTTCTCACTTCAACAAAAAAAAATCTTTTTCAGTATGGTTCATTTTCTTGATGAAGAGGCAAAAAGCTAAGAATTAATCTAAAATCTGTAAGCTTGAATTTGGTCAACACTGGATACTTTTAAGATTCTTACTATGCATTTGTCACTGCAGCTTACTGTGTGCTTGAAAGGCATTGTGTATTTGTCTTTATTCCAGTGAAAAATCAGAATTCCTGTCATTCAGCAAACAAGACAAACATGTTACTTTGCATTAAGATTGTTTTAGTCCTAGAAGAAAGTTATATTATGTGAAATGCTATTACACATATATTATTGGCCATATTTCATTTTGAGAAAAGTAGTTGTTTGGGTACAAATGTGATAAAAACTAGCTGTGACTCTAACGTTCAACTGCAAAATAAAGATGTACTTTAGTAATCTAAAGTGTAGGAGGTTTTCAAGATTATTTTATGGGAGCTTTTTGTTATTGGGCTTTTCTAACTTTATATTGATTACTGTGTCACTTAAAAATATGGGGAGAATTACAAGCAGAAATTGATTTCAAGAATTACTGATTCACATAGTGGTTGTATCTGAATGCAGGAGGTGAGTAGGAATTAAAAAACAGAATTACAGTACTTCTGAAGAGAATCCCTTGCATTGTGGCCCTTGGCCACTGTTGATCCCTTACATCTCCCGATTTCAGCACCTTTATTCTATTACCACTAATGTAAGACCTTGTCACTCAGAAAACCTGTGTCAGTAGGCCTGTGATCAGCCTGATCACGTCTTCCCAAGAGGCAATCAATCATACCATTTCATCTGAAAGAAAATAATCACTTAGGTAAACTAGAACAAAAATAAAGATTTATGTTTATTCTATGTCTCTATTCTTGATGGATATGATAATAAAAAAATTCATTATGAAAAAGTCAGCCATGGTGGTACACACCTGTAATCCCAGCCACTTGGGAGGCTAAGGCAAGAGGCTTTTGCCCTAGAGTTAAAGGCCAGTTTGGGCAACATAACAAGAAGCCACCTCAGAAAAAAAATTATAAGATCCCCAAGCTCCATTTGTAAGAAAAGCTCCCTCAAATCCATGGCAACCTCTGTTCAATTCCTTGTGTGTTGGAGGGGGGTTTTTCTGAATTTGTGTATACATAAACATTTTGTTAATGTCAGTAAGATTATACATTTGGCAACTTGCCTTTTCATCTTGAAATATTTCCATATTTCATTCTTTCAGATCACTGCCTGGTATTCCATTATGTGGATATATCATAATTTAATTTTGTGATAGATGCTCAGATTGTTTCCTGTTTGAAACATGCAAACAATGCTGCTACCAAAATTCTTACACAGGTTTCGTTAATCACTGCTGTATGTACATAGAATAAGTTTCTAGCAGGAGGATTGATTGTAAGGCACCTGCTGCTTTACATATCATTAAATATTGTGTAATTTTTCTTGGAGAAGATTATTTCAGTTTATGTTTCAAGGAAAGCATGTAAGTGTTTCCTCACATCACAACTGTTACAAACAATTTACTTGCTCATCTTACAGATGAAGTATTTTATTTTGGCACTTCTGTATAAAGGTTAAGTAAATTTTATATCTTTGTTGATCTCTTGTATTTTTCCCTTAAATTCATATTGATATCCTTTGTTCATTTTTTATATAAAGTTATGTAACACCTTACACTTTAAGGATGTTGGAAATTAAAGACACTAGTTGTTTGTCAGTCATACATTGCAAATAGTTTTAGTGTGTTTTTTGGTTTTCTTTTGGGGGCTAGGGGTATGAGAACATATTTATACTTATATAAACAAGTATATCAGTCTTAATGACTTCTAAGCTTGGGTTTTGCATGCAGAAGCTCTGCACTAATTCCTAATAACATCCCATCTGTGCCCAAAGCTTGCTTAACCGCCATCCAAAACCTCAGGTGCACAGTATCTTTATTATGTCATTTAGTTAATTATCATGAGCCAAAGAGTATGGAAAGGTCAAGTCTTTACAAAAACCTTAAGTCCTTGACAGTATGAAAAGAATCACAAGGGTGTGTGGTGATACACATCTGTAGTCCATGCACTTTGTGATGCTGAAGTAGGAGGATTGCAAAGTTCAAGCCTACCTGAGACCCTATCTCAAAATAGTTTTAAAAGGCCTGGAAACTGAGTGGAGTGATACATATCTGTAATTCAAGAATTTTGGGAGGCCGAAACAAGAGGATAGCAACTTTAAGGCCTACCTGCACAACTTAGATCTGTCTCAGAAGATAAAATATGGGCAGATACACCTTAGTGAAGATCCTGGTTTCAATTCCTAGTACCAAAAAGAATGGTGGAAGTAAACATGGTGTGGGGATATAGTTCAGTGCAAAGGCCCTTGGTTCAGTCCTGAGCTCCTCCCCGCCCCCCGCCCAAAGAAAAGTTTCTGGGAGTGATTGAACATTTTTTAGAGCATGAGCAACTTCTTATGACATGAAAGTTCATACAAGGTTTCATTCTCCCTTAAGTCTCTGCATTCTTTTACCCTCTAACCATCTTTCTCAGCATTTCTTTTACTTTATCCAGAGTTTCTTTCAAACTGACCCTTGAGAAGGTGTAGGAGAAAAACCCTGAGCAGGAGAGAAGAGATACACCAAACTAGTATACCATGCAACAATTTAGGAGAATGCAAAAGATTATTGGCAGAATATGCTTCTTTACTGATTGGTAAACATAAATTACAATATGATCTATCAAACAAGTAAAACATGGAGGGAGACAGCCTTGACAGGTTGCAGTTTTCAAAATAAGTAATCAGGTCTGTTTAGAGAATCAAGGCTTTCCAAAGGATTGGCCCAGCTGGTATTTTTAAGCTTTTAATTATAGAAAAATTTAAACCTATACATAAAAGTGGTTTTACATACAATATCTATCCCCCAGCTTCAACTAAGGATCCATTCTTGTTTCATCTTTTACTTTCACTGCCTTCCTCCCTCCCATATCATCAACAGCATTGAAATTATTAACTTTTTGTGGTGCTGGGGACTGAATCCAAGTCATCCTGCAGAATAGGCAAGCACTTTACCACTGAGCTACCTCCCCCTTCTCTCTCCACTTTTTAAGAGTTGCTGTCTTGATATGTTTTCTACACTTCCCCAGACTTCTGGGTTTAAGTGATCTTCCTGCCTTGGCCTGCTGAGAAGCTTGAACCGCAGGAGTAGGTCACTGTGCCCAGCTGTAATTGCTTTTTTATTATAATAAAGATGCAATATGACCAACAACTTTTTACTCTTGCAGACTCATTGCAATTCCCATGAAGAGGTGATGAAAATGTTCTATAATTAGATTGTGGCGATGGTTGTCCAACTCTGGGAAAACAGAGCCTTTTAAATAGAAATGTACCTTTTAAATGGTTGGATTATATCAATAAAAAGAGGGTGCAGAAGGAATGTTTTTCTACTTCCATGATATTAAACAGAAAAAAAAGAGATGGCATCTCCACTCCCTGCAACTGGTCTTGCCCTGCAACTTAACTGCCTTAGTTACTTAGTTAGTCCTTGTCACTGAAACATCCACAGCTCTAAGGAGGAAAGGTTTATTTTGGCTCACAGTTTGTAAAAGTTTCAATCCATAGTCAGCTGGTTCCAAAGGAGTGAAGGAGTACTGCAGTGGACAAACAGTTCATGATATGGCAGCTGGAAGCAAGCAAGTGAGCAGGGGAAGAACAGGGGAAGAGATAGACCCAGGGCATGTCTCCAGTGACCCACCTCTTCTAAAGACCTCCTAACAACAGGTCAGCTATAAACCCATAATCCAATCACGTACAGAAAGGCTGGATTTTGAGCACATGAGACTTTGGAGGATATTTTCGATGTAAACCATAACATTCCATCACTGCCCCCAAAAGATTCATATGTATTCTCCATGCAAAAGGCATTTAGTCCACTTCAAGATTGCCAAAGTTGTAACAGGTTCAGTATTGCTGAAAATTCCAAGTCCAAAGTCTCCTCTGAGATTTAAAGTGAACTCTCAGCTGCAAGTCCCTGCACAAATGAAAGTGACAATGGCACAGGATAGAGTCCTATTCCAAAAGCTACAAATAATGGGACCAACTCACAACTGAAACCCAGCAGGGTAAACATTAAATCCTGTAGCTCTGTGTCCAGCACCCAGGACAAGTTGTGTGAATTCTAAAGGACATGGGTGACCCAACCCTTACGGCACTATACCAGTGGTTGTAGCCCTTGTGGCTTCTCTCTTGGGCTGGGTTTTGATTATTCCTCACAGCTTTTCTCAGGTGTTTCACAGTCCTGGCTTTTCTAACATCCTGAGGTCTCCACTCCACTGATTTCACCCTCACACCTTCGTGCACTGCCCTCTGTCATGAACAGGCCATGCTGCCTGCCTGCCCAGTACTTCTCTCACATCTAGCTGAAAGCCTCCCTGACCCCATAACTCTTGCACTTGCTTAAACCATAAACAGGCAGCTGATTGATTTCTGGGCACGTCCCTTAAGAGGTGTTGAACTTTCACTCTTGCCATCCCAAGTACTCTGAGGAGAACCCAACTGTCTTTTCAGCCTCCCAGCAAAGATACCACACAGGTGACTGAAGCCACCTGGTCAGTGCCACCACCTGTAGAGCATAGAAAGGCTGTCCCTGCTGTACCTACTAGGTTTCGGGGTGGGAGATATCAGAGCAGCACCAAGCCCCCAGAAAAGCTCTGTAAATATTCTCATTTCAGACAAACTGAATCTTTATATAATAGCCTCTTCACTTGCCTTACTGCACTACCCAGGACCCACAAGATCTCCATCCCATACCCATTTCCTCTTTAACTGTCACTTCCTCCTTTTCCTGTTTCTTCCTCCCTCTAGCCACACTAATGTTCTTTGAAAAAGGTCTGTATTCCCTTGCAGGGTCTTGAATCTCTTCCCTTAATGTCTATAGGGCCACTTCCTCACCTCCAGTAGGTTTGCAATCAAATGTCACCTTCTTGTGATTTTCTTCCTTTCCTAGCCAGTCTGTCTTAAACCTTCATTCTTAAACTTAGTCCCTGATTTCAATTTATTATTTTTTTTTAAACTGGGGATCGAACTCAGGACTTTGTGCTTGCCAGGCAGGAACTTACTCAGCTGAGCTAAATCCCCAGCCATTCACTTTTCTCTTTGGCATTTATCACCATCAGTGTCTGCCAAAGCAATTTTACTAATTCATCTCTCTTTCTTTTTTTTTTTTTCTGCCTTCAGTTAGGCTTTAAGCTCCATGAGAGATTGTTGTTGTTTTTCTCTTTTTTGAAACAGTCTAATTTTTTATTCTCTTGCTTCAGCTTTCTGAATGCTGGAAGCAGAGGTTCTAAGAGTTATATGCTGGGCCCCCAGGGGGAATTGTTGTCTTACTCAGAGTGCAGCAAGCACTTAGATAATCAGAAGAATGGGTAGACAGAATGCCGCCTTGACGCAGAGGACCTCCCTGACCATTTTTATTTCCCTTTTCCAGCTTTTTCTCCATAATACTTATCATCACTTGATACATATTTGTTTACTGGGTCTCTTCCTGAGTTAAAATTCTTTTAACAGAAATTAAATCTAACTTAACCCCCAGGACATGGGATGGGAGAGGAAGCAAACATAATTATTTATTTATCGTTTTTATTTTGAGATAGGGTCTCGCTAAATTACTAAATTGCCTAGTTTTGGGATCCAATTTGTTTAATCTCTCCAGAATGTTGGGACTACAGGTGTGCGCCACCACCATGCGCTGTCGAAGTAATTTAAGGAATGAGTGAATTAATCTAACACCTAAATTTCTACGCACCTAATGGTGTTTGGCAGCTACAGTCACCTTCCTGATAGGACTACCTGGGGCTATTTGTGGGTAGGATATGACCAACCGAGGTGGGTGTTAGCAGCGCCTTTTGAGTTGTACAGCCACTTGGCGTCGCTCACAGCCGGCTGATTTCCGGGGCGGTGTCATTGCCCATTTAAGAGCCGTGAGCCCCGCCCTCGGGGCGGAGCTTGGAGGGGGCTCTAAGGGGCGGGACCGCGGGCGGCCAGGGTCCTCCGGGGATTAGCGCTGGGTGGGCGAGCCCAGTGTGCCGCCATTTCTAGGCGGCCCCTGAGAAGCTGCCCCCTCCTCAGCCTCGCTTGGGAGACTTCCTCTGGTCGCCGGGGCCGCGAGCCCCTCGCTGTCGCACCGTCGTCCCGTCGTCCCCGGCCCAGGTAAGCGCCAGGTCTGGTGGCCCAGCTGCGCGACCCTTGCTCGCCCACGTTCGGCGGGGCGACCTCGTCCTTGGAGGCGGGCGGGGGCCACGCTGGGACCTGGGCTGCGAACTGTTTCCCGAGGGCTCGGCTCGCTGTGAAGCCAGCCGGAGGGGAGGGGCGGCGGCGGCCAATGGGGCTGGGCGGCCGGGTTTCGGGCGATACCGCGCCGCGCGGCCGGGTTAATGTTTGCCGCGTTCCCGGCTCCGCGCCGGCGCGCAGTGCACCCAGCGTCGCAGGAGGGGCGCTGGGCATGCTCACCTACGGGGCGCGTCAGCAGTCCAGCTGGCTGGGGAAAAGCACCTGCAGTTTGTGTCAGGTCTCGGAACTAGCACCTCAGTGGGCTGACTTGCATTGAGTAACACTTCCGCCCCTGGGAAATTGTGGGAGGTAGGTATGTTCCTGGGAGCGGCGAGGGGTGCGGGCCTTCCCCGCCCCCACCTGTGGCGTGGCTTGTGTTAATGAGGAGTTTGTGGGTGTGTAAACCTAAAACTTCCTTCTATGATTAGTCTTATAAATTTTACTTAGGAGAAGACCCACTTTTTAAACTGTTTGGGAGTACTTAAACTAGTTTCAAAAGCTTTTGTTTGTTTTGGTTTTTCGTTTTAGTTGGAAAAATACTTGTAGCTACTCACCCCGCCCCACACACCCCACACACACTGGTGTTTGAAACAAGAGCACTGGACTACCACCCTAGTGCTTATAAAATTTTTTTGAGACGTGATCTCGCTAATTGTCCAGGCTGGTATGAAATTTGCGGTTCTCCTGCCTTCCTCTTCACAGTGCTGGGAATGCCGTCGTACACCACGTCTGGCTTCAGAGCTACATCTAACTCTCAGGTCTAGTAACCACGTTAGTAGCATAATCTTTTGCTGAGCTCTGTTCACTGTAGTGGATTATTTGACATATTAACGTAGTTTGCAGATTTGGGGGGGCATAGAGTAATCTCATTAGAAAACATGTATAATTTCACTGTTGTTGAATTGTTCCCTTTATCTTTTTTGTTTTTGATGGGTTTTGATGGAGTTTTTGTTTGGTTGTTCTGGGATGTTTTTGTTTGTTTGGTTTTTTTTTTTTTTTGGAAATAGTCTTGCTGTGTAGTTCACCCTGGCATTAAACTCATTATGTAGCCGGGGCTGCCTTTGAACTCAGGGCAGTCCTACTGCCTCAGCCTCCTGAGTGCTGAAATTAGAGGCACTCCACGCCCCACTCCTGCTTAGTAGTTTTATCTGTATTGGAAACAATACTGTCTTGATGGCATTTGATCTAAACTTGTATACTGATTTATCAAAAATACTGTTACCAGATTGTGGCCACTGTTGCAGATGAGTATACTCATTTCAGGAAAAAAACTTTTGAGTTTGGAATTATTTTCCAGGGCTAGGGATTAAGCCCAGAGGCATTTTACCACTGAACTACATTCCAGCCCTTTAAAATTTTTTTTAGACAAGGTCTTGCTGTCTTGCTGTGTTGCTCCGGCTGGGCCCCACTTTGTCCTAGTGAATACTTGGGATCGTAAGCATATGCCATTCGTTGTGTCTGGCTGTACTTCGACTTGTATTTCTGTGATTGAAAAGGAAATCCTTTGTTGTTGAAACTTTAGAAATTCCTTTTTTAATCACATAGCTCTATTATCTAAAATTTCCATTGTATCATTTTATATTGCCATGCTAGTTGTTGGGTCAGAGTAGTGAATTAAGTCAGACATAGTCTTATGTTTTTAGTGTGGGAATTTTTTTAGCCAGTAAAATAAATAAAGCAATTAGGTTTTAAATTATAGCATCTTTATGTTTTGGCCTAAATGTATCATAGGGCCGCCTACTTTAGACTGGGAGTGCTTTGCTGAGGAAAGAATCATTTCACCTATAAATATAAGGTTAGCTACGTGGAGGAGAAGATGAACAGAGAGGTAAAGTGGGAAAAGATTATTCCTGAAGGATGGAACACCTAATGAAAAAAGACCTGGAATCGAAAAGTCTCGGGCTGAACAGAGTACAGTACTGGAGTAGAAGAGCAACTGGAGTGGGCAGCTATAAGGGTCAGGCAGATCTAAAGACCTGAGTTAGGATGCTGGCCAATTAAAGACTTAGAAGCAGTAATCAGATTTGCAGTGGCTGAAAATCCACTGGATACAATTTGAAGAATGGAATTGTTGGGGATGGGGAAGAGAGAATATTGGGGATTTTTTTTCCCCAAGCCCCCAAACTTTTGGTTAGTGATTGGTCATAAATTCTTGTGACCTTTTGATTAACCCTATTAGGAGAGCATGGCTTGTAACTGTTTGGGTGTCCTTATAGTCCAAGTGAGAGAGATACTTGCAACCCAACATGGAATAATATGCTATTTTCATTTTTTCTGTGATTTAAAGTTTTCACTTACAAATTCTGACAGTATCTAAGTCAACTATCTATCTATCTATCTATATATATATATATTTTTTTTTTGGTACCAGGAATCAAACTCACAACCTCAAGCTTGCCAGGCAGGCATTTCTGTTGATGAACTAAATCCTCAGCCATAAGTCAGTTCTATTTTTAAAACAACAATAGTACTATGTTGTATAGCATTGTATGCACCATAATTTCCATAGCTCATTGCTTCCTGACAGCTGTATTTAAAATTTTCTTTGTCCCATATGTTGCTCTGAAAAATCTCTTGCAGTCTAGAGTGTGTAAGTGACTGTTTCTTAGGCATTCTATCAAAAAGAATTGCTCGTTAGATACTATATTAAAATATTTTTTTTTCTGTCTTTTATCTCTCTCTCTCTTTTTTTTGGCAGTACTGGGGATTGAATCCAGGGAGAACTAAGATACATGCCAGGCTTTTCCGTTCTTCTTAAGTTCTGAGACAGGGGTCTTACTACATCGCCCAGACTTATCTTGACATGTGATCCTGTTGCCTCAACCTCTGGCATGATTACAGGCATGTTCTACCATACCATGCCTAGGTTTCATGCTAACAATTGTAACAGCACATTCAAGTTTCAGTGATACAATTTTTAATGATACAGGCTAGTGATTGTTTTTCTCACATCCGTTTTAATGTTGACTATTTTGAAAGACTTAATTGACAAAACCTTCAAATTAAATTTTATTTTATTTTATTGAGACAGGGTCTTGCTATGCAGCTCATGCTGCTCTTAAGCTCACTGTGTAGCCCAGGCTGGCCGGAAACTTGCAACTATCCTCCTGCCTCAGCCACTAGAGTTTGGAATTCTTTTTATTTTTTGGCACAGTCTTGCTGCATTATTCAACCTGCCCCTGCTCAAACAATCTTCCAGCTTCACCTCCAAGTAGGCCTCTTCTCTTCCCTCCCCTCCCTTACCCCCTCCTGTTTTCTCTTCTTTTGGGCACTGAGGCTCTAACCCAAGGCTACATAGTGAGTTTAAGGCCAGGGTGAAAAAGATAAAGGGAATAATTCAACAACAGTGAAATTATACATGTTTTCTAATGAGATTACTCTATGCCCCCCCAAAATCTGCAAGTGTTCTATGTCATTGAGCCACATCCCCAGCCCTGTCTTATTTTTTAATTTGTATCTTCTTCATTACTGTTGGACGTCTTTTCTTTTTTATTTATTTATTTATTTATTTATTTTTTATTTAAAGAAAAGGAAACGAAAAAAAATACATGGAGATAAAAAAAGGGTAGAAATAATACAAAATTACAGACAAACAAAAGGTAAGAAATTGCCGGTTGATAAGTTACACATTGTCATCTTCGAAATAGCTGTTCAGGTTATAGAATTAAAGTATTTAGAATAACATTCAAAAAAGTGACCCTACAAACCATTCTGCTCTATGATCAAACAAAAGCTCAGTAATATGATTATCAGTCCTACACATTTGTTTTACATCTCAAAGAGGGTAAGATTAACCATATCAAAACAGAACAGAACATTTAAAAAAAAATAAAAAACAATTTAAAGAAATACAGATTTCAAAGCAAGTCCCCTGGAGATCTTCATTATCTAACTGTCTCTAGCTTCTTACAAATAGTTGTCCCTATCTTCACCCACTTTATATACTTATTGCATATTATAGAACTAATCAAATCATTACAGGATGATGAAGTCTTTTTAGGTCCTCAAGTTCCAAATTAGGGAAGCCAATAGCAACTACCATCGCATCTCTCATTCTCTTTGTGATAGCCATCCCCATCTCTGCATATGCTGAAGTTGAACTGAAGAAACCAGTCCAATGTCATTCTAATCAGCAAACAATAGATTGCTAGAATTTATATTATAGTGCTACAAAATAAGCCTCGGGTTTCTCAGCGTCTCTTCCTTAGAGTATTTGTTCCTTACATCTTGCATTATATAATCTGTTCCCGTAAATAAGAAAAAAAAAAAAAAAACCCATGTGTGAATTTCTACCTGTATATCTATCCTCTCTGTATTATAGGGAAAACCAAGTCATAGCAAGACAGCAAAACAATTTCCTAGAAAAACATGCAATGGATAAGACATATAAAACTACAATATAAATGATCTTCCGTAGCTACTATGTTTTCTCTTGTTATTTTCAATAGATTTGTCCACAACACTGGCTTATTATAGTTAAACATACTATCACCTGTTTTTATAAAAACTTAACTTTGACTGCATTGTAGGATTTGAGAGCTGTTACTGATTCATACCAGTATGGATATCCTTTACATCTTGTCATGCTCAGAGTAGTTTCCTCTACTTTTAGGGTTGATTCTAACAAGCATACCAATTTCAAATAGAATCAGTCAAGGCCAACCAATAGTCTTATGATTCAGATACAATTAAGATCAGTCATAGTAAGACAATGTAAGTAATACAGGATTTCAGCCCAAGTCAATAGGAAAGTAAGGATAGTTACCATGGTATAACCTGCTATTTTTGGTTCTAGAGGTCTGTGTCCTCAAATCTGACATGAGTGGACAGACCAGAACAAATTAAATTCAATCTAAATATGGCACTAGGACTACTGTGTCTTTTAAATCGTTATACACCATTAGCTGTCGGTGTCACTCCCGGCCGGCAGGAAGGACACACAACAAAGTCTGGCAGTGGACAACCTTTTCTTTTATTTTCCTTCTCCGTACAGCCTGCCCTGGGAATCCTCCCGGCCGAAGCCTCTGTTGGTCCGCTCCCCGCGGCTCCTTGCGTGCTTCTCCCTACAGTCTGTCCCGAAGCCTCTACCGGTCCGCTCTCCGCGGCTCCTTGCGTGCTTCTTCCTACAGTCTGTCCCGAAGCCTCTACCGGTCCGCTCTCCGCGGCTCCTTGCGTGCTTCTTCTGCTTCTTTTGCTTCTTTTTTCGTGGCGGGAGAGGCACTCACTTTTATAGGGTTACAGTGGCCAATCAGTTCAAAGCGCGCGATGCGGGCTGATTGGCTAACATCAGTTGTTGCTAGGCAGACTATCTTACAGGGCGGGTTGTGAAGCAGGAGGTCTTACAGGGCGGGTTGTTTACCAAGCAGGAGGCAGGAGATCTTACAGGGCGGGTTGTTTACCAAGCAGGAAGCAAGAGATAAGCGCCATCTTAGCACACTCGATGGGAGGGGTAATCTAGCTCAGGCTTTGCTCTTTCCTACAGGCCTCACGTCCGCCAAGTAAGGCGACCGGGCTCGGCCGCGGCTCCCAACAATTAGCAATGACCTCTGCTTTTTTTAAAATATAGTTTCAGAGCTGTCTGTACTAAAGACTAGCTTACCGTCTCTGCCTCATGTCTGCTACCCCACTTTTCTGCTATAATTTGTCCACCTTATTCCCTCATTCCATTGTCTGCCCCGTTCACTGAGGCCTCTCTGCTACTGTTGCTGGAATCCTGATATCTCTTCCTCTCTTTCTCTGTAATGTCCTTCAGCGCTCT